TAGTCTATCTTTGTATTGAAAGGGATATAGTTCTGGTGAAACTGTCTACCCATCCAATATCTCTTCTAGGAATTTAAAGGAATATGTGGCCTTAGAAAACTGATAGGGAATTTTATGCCCCACTTTCTTTAGGACCTAAGAGGTATTCTTACAAATATAACTTGAGAAATGTTTTCTTATCTGAAGGAGTTAGTTAGAAAATATATTAAAAAGCAAATTAATAATTGTTGTCAGTGTTGTCAGAAATATTGGTAAAATAACTATCTCTAAAAATTAGTGCAAATGGCCAAAATTCTAAATGAAAGAGATCTCTGTGTCTATGTCTTTGCCTTTGTGTTTTTCTGTCTCTGAAGGGTTACTGTGTTAAAAATCATTTTAAATGGCGCCTATATAAATTCTAATAGAAAAGAACCCAAATTTTGAGATCGCGATCTAAAATTTTTGGTAAGCAAAAACTAGTTCAAAATGTAATGGTTTAATTAAAGCACATATGTCTTAGATTTATAATGTTGGGAGTTAAAAGTTTTATTGTATGTTAAATGTGTTTTAAAAAATTTGGAGTGGTCAAAAAAAAAAAAAAAAAAAATATTGACCTGGTCTATGTTAACAGAGATAAGTGTGATTTTGTTTATAGCTGGACTTCTTTTTGATAAAATTCTCTTCTAAAAAGACTGGCCCGCTATTTATTTACCTTGAAAGAAATACCTTTGTTCCCCAGGTAAGCAACTTAATTGATTTTTCCTTCCCTTGTCCTAGCCAAGGAAAAAAAAAAAAGAAAAACCTCTGGTATATAAATTTGTTTCATTTATAACTCTGCAATTTGAACTTCGTATCCTAAGAAAAACTAGAGCTACAGTTGGTATCTCTGTTCTTCTTATCATTATTTAAATGGTGGTATATTTTTCCTATAAAACTAAGGATTTACTAAGTTTAATAATGAAAGTTTGTTGACTGCTTGATGAGCTTTTGGTGTATTTTTGCTTCTTATAGTAGGAAAACAAAACTTTATTGTTATCATCCAGGAAAAAATAAAACATGTGTTTATGTATGAGTTATCCAGTACAAAGGAATAATAGCATAACAGCTCTAACAATGTCTTAAAGTAAAAAATGTGAGGCTTGCCTGTTAATTAGCTGAAGTTTTGTTGGGACAAGGCCTGAGTGGACGAAAAGTTTCAGGGAGTGACTGATGGACTTTCTCTGGCCAGGCGCCTGACTTGTGTGCCCCAGATGACCTCTTGGGAGTCTCCAGCTTCAGTACTCCCTGCTTGCTTTAAAGTGCGAATGTGCCTCTGCTGGGGCAATGGATGCTCTATTGCCTAATTGCTGGGGGCTTGAACTTTGGAAAAAGATCTCTGGGCCTGTGGGCATAAATAAAGACAAAAGTCTTCTATAACAGTCTTACAATCTAAAAATTAAAAACTAAAATGTTGTAACTCTAAATGCAAATAAAGCGAGATTGTGTTAAGATATGTATGTAAAAAAATATGCTAAAGGTCTGAAAAATTTAGTGTCAAAACAAAATACCTATCTTGAAAAAAAAAAGGTGTTAAAGCTTTGCAGATCTGAGAGAGGTATCTTAGTAAAATGCTATGTGCTAGAATGACTTGCTTTAGGAATATTCAAATTTATTATCAGTGGTGTACTTACGTAAAACCAAAATTTAATTTCTTTTCCATCTTCAGTAAAGGCTCAAGTATTCTTAAACTGCTTTTACTAGTTCTTGATGACAAATTAAAAACTGTTTAGGTAATCTGAAATCTTGGTTCTCTTTTACCCTTGGACTTGGTAAACTGAAAAATATAGTCCTGTCAGCATTGTTGAGCACTGTGAAAATATATCTACTTTTAAAAACCTCTAGTTATCACTCTGGGTACCTTAGTGTTGTTTTATAAAAATCTGTATATATTATTAAGCCTGTGAAGAAACTTTTCTTGGAGTCAAATTTCAAAAATGGTAAAGTTTTTTTTTGAATCAAGTAAAATTATTTGATGCATCTTAGGACTCTTAATAAATTATTTTCCTTATAGCAAAATGCTAAAACACATTGGACCAATCTAGAAATGTTAAAACTTCATAAAAATTGTCATTGAGGAAAAAAGTTATACCTTTTCAGCATATATAAAATTGATTAAAGTGTTCTAAAATATATGCGATTTTTAAAACCTAGTATGTTCTGGTATAATATTATTGGATGGTTCTGATTATACTGAAATATGTATGTGTATGTTTGTCACAAAACTGAGCAAACATCCTTGTCTTTTACCTTAAGCCATGATTTTAGGTATGGTCATTTTCGAGTTTTTGTTCTTTCTAAAGTTTATTTGCTGAGCTTTGTCTTTAAAAAAAAACTCACAAAAAGAGACTGACAATATAGATATGTTTTGGAACTGAAAAGACCTACTGAGCCTATAAAAATTTGATTTATGAAAATTACCAACAGAAGATGGAGACTTAATATATGGAAAGTACACTGAGGAAGATTTGAATAATATTTCATGACTTTAAAAAAAAAATTAGTTTTTAATGTTTTGGTTTTTTGGGTCTCCAGAAACCTTGTCTTTAAGCTGGGCTATGATCTTAACAATGACAATTTGCATCTTTTTATGAACAAACTGAAGCATTTGCTTTTCTCTTGTCTCATCCCAAAAATTTATAAGCAATATTTGTACTTCTCAGGACAATGTCTATCTTTGCATAATCTCAATAGGGAATTTTATTTATTTCTCCTTAACCTGGTAAATTAAACATGTTTTGTTAAAAGGCTTTGATTGAAATTCTTCTGGGAATAAACCGTGCTGAGCTGAGAAGAGCGAGCCAAGAAGATCCTGTCACCTTGCTTACTGGGTTCCAGAGACCTCCATGAAAAATGAGGAAGCTGCCTCCATGGACAGGACTGAGGAAAACCCTGGAAAAAGTCCTGGGAACCTTGAGAAGAGGAAATCTCAGGTGAAGATTGGTGAGACTGTGACTTTGATAAAGCCGGCATGGACTGGATGTTAAAAAGCTCACGCTAAGGCCTGTGGAATTTTCAACAAAGCCAACAACACTCTACTTGTTTACTCTGCCCTATAAGTTTATGCAAATATAGGGAAAATTGTTAAAATTAGATTTGGTTTACTATTTTACAGAATTGGGATGAGGGTAGAGAAAAATTATGTTTCCGTAACTATATTATTTTCTGGTCCTCTCCAGTGAGGGCTATAGCCTTAATGTCATCATCTTGAGGAAGAAAAAAAGTAATCCCTCTTACATTTAGGACTACGCTGTGTTGTATATCTTGTCGCTGCCACACCAGCACCAAGACCTTAACATTATGTCGGGAACTATGGCACCAATAAGTGCAGGCCTTCCATAGTAAACCCCCCCACCACGACGACCCTGTTCAGCAGGAAGCAGCCAGATGACACGACGCCCCTTTTCCCATAGAAATGGAAGGTCATAACTGAGAGTGGGGATTATGATACAGTTAACAAGTTTGTCTTTCCCCCATTTTTTGCAATTCCCCTTATCTAGCATTAACAGGATTGATGACTTGTCTTTCCCATTTGTTGCAGCTTCCCCTCCCCTTGGGAAGAAAAAAAAAGCTGGCGCCCACCGGTTTCCCTGTAGACCCTTCCCCCTCGCCCTAAGGAAAACAAGTTGGCGATCACCGTCTCTGTGCCTTGACACCTTCCCCTTCCCTTAAGATGAATGAGCTGACACCCATCCATCTCCCTGTTGAGCTGGCGCCCACTTGTCTCTGTGCGGACCCCTTCCCCCTCCCCTTCACGGATGCCTACCCATCTCCCCCTGTATAAATACCCCTGCCCACTGCCAAAGAGCAGGACGGTGGTTTTTCGGACATGAGTCTGCCTCCCTCCTCATTTGTCGACAAATAAAACCGCTTTCCTTTTCCTCAAACTTAGTTTCCTTTTATTGGCTAAGGGAAACTGAGGCCGGCGTTCGGTAACACAGCCGCCTGGAGAGGGCCCCACACTGCTCCCCTCAGCAGTTTATTTCGTCAGTCTGCCTGTCTGTTCCCCACTCTGGCTCTGGTGCATTCTCTCACCCTCCTGTGCTTCTGACTGTACCTAGTGCTTGTATAAATAAATAAATAAATCTTAAAAAAAAAAAAAAAAGAATATGGCTCAATTTCGAAAAGTAATAGCAACATTGTGTGAAGATAGAGGGCAGTGGAGATATTCACTCTACAACTGAATACTGGGAGCCAGAGGAATTGTTCCTAATTGTTTTAGCAGTTCTTCCACAGCACCTCAGAGCCTCTTCCACTTACAGAGCCTTTATGGTATTCATTTTCTAAAAATAGGTGGTGAGATCAACTGTGGAATGATTTAGGCTCATAATCCACAAAGACACCCATGCTTTTCAAGACATCTTTACACTTCAGTTCATTCTTTCAGTGTCGAGATTGGGGAGTTTCCTATCTTTAGTAGCAGGATGTTGGACTTTCAAAATCAATGCGATCCTTCAAGCACCTCAACCCTAGTGCTCCACATTTCTTCAGCAACCTTCTTCATTCCTTAGAACAAATTTCCTTCATTCTTTCTGATTCCTGTTTCTCCAACCCACTCTCTCAGGAAAGAGCAACTGCCGAAACCAGAGCCATGCCCCACCCTTTATTCAAATCTTCCTTTTGGGGGGCAAAGCGCTCTTAAAAGGTGGACTATGAATCAATTTTCTCTCCAGACTGTATAGAAAACAAACACTTAATAGAAATACAGTATTTCAAACAAACTACAATGTAAAATAGTTACAACTAGATACAACTAAGGTAGCCCGTCTGCCTTGGCTCTCGGGGATTTCTGAAGCAGGACAGTGGCTGGCAGGGCTGCGGCGTCCAGAACTACTCCCGTCGCTGAGCGCCCAGTAGGACTTGAACCTGCGACCCGCGGGCGAGGAGCGTCTCCGGCTCGGCGGCCGCGCGCGCGGATTGGTCGCGCAGGCGCCGGGTTCACCGCGCCTGCGCCGCGCTCCTCCCGCACCGCCCATCCCGCCGCCCAGTTGCCCGTCTGCGGCCTCAGAAGCGCTCGGGCGGCACCGGCACCTCGGGGAGCCCACAGCTGGGCGGACAGACGGTGGGCCCGGCCCAGTCTCTCCGAGGAAGAAGGAGGGCGCCACCTTACCGGGGTCCAGACCCCCCCTCTGCCCCCGCAGCTTGCCTAGGCCGGTGGGGGGAAAGCTTGAGGAGCCGCGGACGCTCCCCGGCGCCGGTGCCGCCGCCGCCGCCATGGCTGCCATGATGGAGCGGAAGTGAGGCTCAGGGCGAGGGCTGCCGGCGCCGGTGCTTCGAGTCCGGGTCCCCCCGCGCGTTCGCCGGAGAAGCTCAGCGCGGCCAACTGCCGACCCCCTAGGCCTGCGCGACTCCACGCCCGTGGCTCGCACCCGCTTCCTCTCAGACTAAGCGGCGGGGAGTGGCTCCCGGCCTCCGGCCCCGGCAGCGAGGAAGATGGCGGACCCTGCTGAGTGCAACATCAAAGTGATGTGTCGCTTCAGACCGCTCAATGAGTCTGAGGTGAACCGCGGCGACAAGTACGTCGCCAAGTTTCAGGGAGAGGACACGGTCATGATCGCGGTGAGTGACCCCCGCCCCGTGCACCCCCCCCCGGCCCCCGCCCCCCGCCCCCCTGACCAGCTCCTTCGGGCCTGGCTGGGCCTGGAGTTACGGGAAGTGGCGGGATGCAGAATTGAGAGGGAGCGGTGTTGGCCTCAACCCGCCGGGAGAGGCTGGTCTGTTGGGATAACCCGGAGGAGGGAGCCTGCGCGGCTCCCCGGGTGTTCCCGGATTCCCCCCCACGCAGGTTTTCACTGCTGGGAGACGGGAGGCGCCTGCCTCCGTCTGGGACACTCCCCCACCTGGGGCGCTGGAGGAACTGTCCGGGGAGCAAGTTTAGTGCTTGTTTGCTTGTGTTTGTTTACGTGTGTGTGAGGTTACGGTTGCTGATGCTGTTGGTATTGTGGCTGCCTCCAAATTTACCATGCATTCAATATGTAAGTTAAAAGTTTCTATAAGAAAATTGAGTGAGGCGGTCAGCCTTAACGGTACTGGGAATGGAAGAGAGACGTGGTTTTCAAAGAAAATTACTACGTATTGATAGGAGGAAAAACTAGTGAACAACTATGAATAATACCTGTGCCTCCCACTTTTTTGAGTGGTGAATTTTTATGTTTTACAATTACGAATAGCGAATCGAGAACTAGAAAAAGAAATGTTTTCTTTTGAAATTGGAGTGGTCCTTTTTTTTAATCTAGCAGATCAAGCCAATTCACACTGAATCAAGTAAGTGCTTAGAAAGAGCCATAATCTCACTCTTAATGGATTTTAGGGGGTTACAGTCTAGGACAGAGTCTAGGACTTTTTGTGTGTATGTCAAAATATTGCAAAAGTGAACTTGTAAAGATAAAATTTGATGCGTGAACTATATTTTTTGTTGGTATTAGCTCCTACTTCTACAGTTGGGATCTGTCCTGAAGGAAATTGTTTTGATGATCCCAAGAATTGTGAGATATTGTTCCTTTGTGGTAAAGAATTACATAACTAGTTGGCTGATGAGTGTCAAGGAGACCAGTATGTAAAATTAATTTTTTTTTTTTTTTTGAGGTCTGGTCTCTGATATTGAAAGCTCTCTGTAAATAGTTTTTCCAAGCCAGGGAGATTAAAATGGGTAAGCTATGTATACAAAGCCAGGAATTGTGCCTAAAAAATAACTTCATCTTTCTTGGTAATGCCATGTGGCAGAACTTTTTCTGCATTGCTGTCATAGTAAAAAAATTTAAGGTTAACTTTTTCTCTGATGACTTTCCATATTTAACATATTTGGGCAGTTTAGTTTGCAAGTTCGACAAAGAGGTTAGAGCAGATGGGACATTGATGATTAAAAGCATTGGCCTGTAAGACAGTATTAAACTTGTTCAGAGTTTTCATGCAGATGGTTCCATAGTTTAGAAAATGAATATCATGGCTCCACATTTCTTAGGCTTTTGGCAAACATGTCACTCTTGTGAGGCTGATTCTTTGTTACTAATGTTGGTGAGATAAACTCTGCTGTAAGTGACATGGGAAGGTGGAGAAGTTAAGCACAGAAGTAGTCATCCTTTTCCTTTACAATGAAATATTTTACATGAAACCTGAGGAAATTTGCAAGGCTTGGATTGTTAGTTGGCAAACATGAGGCCACTAGTTTCTCATAGTTTTTGTGATTACTCAGCTTCAACACTGGTTGACACATCAAAACTTTTCCTTTTAGACTTGGATGAAGAATGTATTACTTCCCGAGATACTTTGTGTGTGTTTGCACAAGTCTTTAAGTATCACTCACTAAAATTTATTTGTTGTAATGCTAGAACTTAAGGTTCACAAAATGTATTAAGGCTAGGTTCACAAATGCAGCCCCAATATGATATCAAATGCGGGGTAAGAACTAAAATTAAAAAATAATTGCCACAGGAAGCACAAATGTATTCTAGGTTTTTTCCTTTGTGTTAAGTTACTATAAAGAAATTCAGTGGTTTGGACCTCCCCAGGTGGCGCAGCAGTTGAGTGCTGGGCTGCGAAGCTGCACGCAGCGCTGGTTGGATCCCCGGCCACCGGGCAAGGGTCCCACATGGCACGCAGACCTCTCCTGCCGCCCGCTGCTCCCCTCAGCAGTGTCACTCTGCCTGTTCTGCTCTCCGCTCTGGCTCGGGTGAATTCTCTCACCCTCCCGCGCTTCTGACTGTACCCAGTGCTTATATGAATAAATAAATAAATCTTTAAAAAAAAAAAAAGAAAAGAAATTCAGTGGTTGTATAATTTCCTTGTGTAAGTTTCCTTAGTGATGTACATAAGTAAGTTAATTGACAATACTAGGAATAATGAATAGGTGATTGAGTTTTGAATAGTAATGAACATTTAGTTGAACTTTACCAGTTTATTTTCAGGATATAAGCAAAAATGGATTACAGCTAAGTGATGCAACCTTAAGAAATGGAAATTGATATGTTGAGTTCATTTTTAAATAAATTTCTCACATATAGTATATGTTATTAATTTTTTTGAGGTTTCATTTTTCAAGTAATTTTTAAGCATTTTTATTTTCTTCTAAGTTCAGTTTTCTTTTTTTATTTTAACATTTATCATTTTTTAGACAATATTTGCTTCCCCCCACCCCCTTAAATTGAGTTCCCATAGAATTTCCTTCCCCAAGGCACCCATGCACCATCACCACAGTCCCCTGTTAAGTTCAGTTTTCAATCCTTTGTCCAGACTTTCCTTATTACTCATATAGTCAGTGATTTTAATATAATGTGACCCCCATGGCAGGCAAGTCTTACAGTGTTTCTCTGCGCGTTTTGCAGCCTTTTATACAGTTGGTTTTGTTTGGTAATTTACATATTGAGTGAAAAATGAGTATTTTATGAAAACACTTAAATTATACAAATAGAATCTATTTGCTTTTTTTTTTTTAAGATTTATTCATTTATGCATATAAGAGCTGGGGTGTGGGCCAGAGATCCGTGGAGATGAGAGGATTCACCAGAGACAGAGTAGGGCAGAACAGGCAGATCTACTGAAATACACTGCTGAGGGGAGCGGCAGACCAGATAGGAGAGGTCTGCTGTGCCATGTGGGTCAGCTCCCTGGTCAGGGATCAAACTCCTGCTGCAGTGGCTGCGCAGCTGATAGCTTCATAGTGCTGAGTCTTAACCCCTGTGCCCAGGAAGGCCCACAGAATCTATTTGCTTTAAATAAGAGAACTTGTTATCCACGAAAAAGTATGTAGTCAAATGACCCTGCAGAAGACATCAGAAAAAAAATCAATTGACAAAATTACTTTTGTAGCTATTTATATATCATAAAATAGGTACCTTCCAAGTGTTATGTCTTTACTAAACATTGTTGTAACTAATCATCATTCCTTATAGGGTATACCATAGAGGTTGCCAGAACCAAAAGCAAGCTGTTGTACTTATTTCATTGAAATTTGAGAATAAACCTACTTAGATCATTTTGCCAAGTTCCTCTTGCCCATAGCACAACACTGGCCTTTTCAAGTGAATGATGATTTGATTCTGATTACCTTAAGATTGAAATTTTTTTTAAAGATTTATTTATTTATGCATACAAGAACTGGGGTACAAGCCAGAGGCGTGGGGGGTGAGAGGACTCACCAGAGACAGAGTGGGGAACAGAACAAACATATGTACTGAAATACACTGCTGAGGGGAGCAGCGGGCGAGTCAGGAGAGGTCTGCTGTGCCATGTGGGTCACTCCCTGGGTGGGGATTGAACTTGTGCTGCAGTGGCTGCCGATAGCGTCATAGGTTGGGATAGCTTCATAGGTTACATCTTAGCCCCTTGTGCCACCAGGGAGGCCCAAGATTGAGATTTTTAAAAAGAAGGAGCAACCATCACATACCTTTCTAATTGGGTATTAGCCCACAGTCAGTGTCAAACTAAGGAAAACCTAATAAGATATAAAGAACACAGTTTAGAATTCCAGAGACAGGCATATCCCTCCTACAAGGGTGTCTGTCCCTCATAACCAAATTTGGATCTTAAACCTCTGTACAAACTCAAACAAGAACCGTTTCACTTAAGAAATCTGAGGTATGGCTACAATTCAGATAAACTTGTTCCTCCTGTTTGGTTTTGCCCCTCAAAGCCTGAATTAGATGTGAATGTATCTTGTGACTTTGAGTTTGCAAAATTGAAATCTGAAGATCTATACAAATAAAGGCTACATAATGTACGTTTCAAGACCCTTAGAAATATTTTTTACATTCTATAATACTAGTTTTTCCTCCCAGAAAGCCGTGGTTACTTAGTAACTTCATCACTGCCAGATCTCTGATCAAAGCATTTGCCTTAATAAAAATTATAATTTAGTATCAAGACTAAAATGAATCAAGTTAATGCTAAGTGCAAATTAATTTTTTATTTGATAATGATATAAATTCTAAAATAATTGGTCATTCTCAGCATAATAATTATGTTTGTTGTTACTTAATAAGATTGTAATGGTAGTTTGCCTGTTTGCTGTGGAGTAATGCTATTATAAACAGCTGTATAAAGGGCTTCTGAGCACTGTTACCCTTTATTTTGATGTCTCACTTAGTGAGACAAATATTTTCAATTTTTTTTTATTGATGTAAAAGTGGGGATGTGATTTAAAACTTGGCAGTGTGGGGGCCTACCCTGGTGGTGCAGGCGGTTGAGCGCCACGCTGTGAAGCTGTCCACAGCTTCTGCTGTGCCGGTTCGATCCCAGCCGGCGAGAATCCCACATGGGACAGCAGACCCCTCCTGTCTCGCCTGCTGCTCCCCTCAGTAGTATATTTCACCGCTCTGTCTCTGGTGAATCCTCTCACCCTCCTGCGCATCTGGCCTGTACCCCGGTTCGTGTATGTGTAAATAAATAAATCTTAAAAAAAAAAAAAAAAAAAACTCGGCAGGGTGTGTTCTATTTTTTATTTTGATAAGATTTTTAGTATTTATGTTGTTTTGAAGGGATTCACTTGTCTTCATAATTTGTTGTTACCCAGTAAGGTTATAGTGGTAGTTTGCCTTTGCTGTGCGGTTTCTTGTTTCTTGTAAGGGAAGGTAGGATTGTTTAGCTTTTGACTAGTTGTGACCTCTCCTTGACTCTGCCAAATTGTGAGTTCTCTAAGGCTAGAAGCTTTGTCCACTTAAATTCAGTTAACATGACTTGATCACTTATATTAGACTCTAGTATACAGCTTCTTAACTGGGTGTTCAAGACCCTACTCAGCTTTATTCTCTTATTATTTGAGCTATACAATCTGGACTAATTGAATATTACTAAATTGTGCTACTCATCTATCACTGACTGATATTTTATACATCCAAAATCAATGTTTATTGGGTAAGTAAGAGAAAAGTACTTTATCTTGCATAGAAAAAGTATTGGCATGGTTTATCTGTTGGTGATAGTTGTTATTTTGGTGCTTGTATTTATTTTCTAAATTGTTTATCATGAATATATCACATAAAACCAGTAAAATAATAGGTCATCTTTATTTAAGCACATTGTAGAATTGAGTGGTAGTTCATCTTAGTGGCATCTTAACAGAAAGACACTTAACTTCATGTATATCTATTCAAAGAATAATAGACAATTAGATGCATACTTTCAGTTGACACCAAAGTGAGGTCATTAACAGTATTTTTTAAAAATATTTTTTATTTATGCATGCAAGAGCTGGAGTGCAGGCCAGAGATGCAGGGGGTGAGAGGATTTACCATTTACCAGAGACAGAGTAGGGAACAGAACCGGCAGATCTACTGAAATACACTGCTGAGGGGAACAGCGGGCGAGGCGGGAGAGGTCTGCTGTGCCATGTGGGTCACTTCTCTGGCCAGGGATATAGTGCTGCTTCTTAACATCTTGTGCCACCAGGAAGGCCGCACAATATATATTTTTAGGAATGCTTTTAGCTGAAAGGGAAAGCAACTAATTGTAGATTAAATAAATAAGAGGTTTATATTTCTCATGCAACAAAAGTCTGGAGATAGGCCTTTTTTTTTTTTTTTTTTTAAGATTGATTTATTTATGGGTACAAGAGCTGGCATGCAGGCCAGACTAGGGAGCAGATCAGGAAGATCAACTGAAATACACTGCTGAGAGGAGCAGTAGGTGAGACAGGAGAGGTCTGCTGCTCCATGTGAACTAGCTCCCTTGCTGGAGATCAAACTAGTGCTGCAGTGGCTGCGGATAACTTGATAGTGCTAAGACTCAACCCCTTGCCTCACCGGAGGCCCCTGGAGATAGACCTTTACTGCTGCTACTTCAAGAACCCAGGCTCTGTTACCCTCTGTCATCCTAACTATTAAATTTCATCATTATATTTGTCATGTTTGCAGAAAGGAGAAAGGGCAGCTTTAGCTGAGGTGGTCTCTTTTATCAGGAAAACAAAAATCCTCTTTGGAGACTTTCCAGTAGACCACCACTTAGTATCCAGAACTGGGTCATGCAGCCACTAGTTGGAAAGATCGGATAGTTTTCCAACCTATGTTAGAGGAAGGTGGCTAGGTAAAGGAGAATTGGGGATGGCTTTGGATAACCCTTTTGGCGTGTTTTCTTGTTATCTCAGGTTTGGGAAGGGAGATTGTGGGGTATAGTTTCTGAAAAGATCTTTTTTTATTATTTTTTAAACATTTATTTATTTATGCGTACAGAAGCTGGAGTTCGATCCCCCTGCTAAAAAGACCTTTTATAACTAAGACCTAGGTAGTGTTCTATAATGTTAAGAAATTTTTTCTGGGGTCCAAATTGCTTTTGTTGTAATACCTGCTTTCCTTTCATTTAAAAGAGACTAGATAGAGCTTCCATATGATCCAGCAATTCCACTCCTAGGTATTTACCCAAAGGACACAGAAACATCAATTCCAAAGAACACCTGCACCCCTATGTTTATAGCAGCACTGTTTACAATAGCTAAGCTTTGGAAACAACCCAAATGCCCAAAAATAGATGACTGGATCAAGAAGATGTGGTACATATATACCATGGAATATTACTCAGCATTCAAAAAAGATAAACACATGCAATTTGCAGCAACATGGATGGCGCTGGAAGGGATCATGCTCAGCGAAATAAGCCAAAAAGAAAAAGAAAAATACCGGATGGTCTCACTCATAGCAGGAATCTAGAAAACTTAAATAAGGGACCAGGAAAATGAATAACTATAAGAAAGTGAAAATCAAAATCAACAAAAAACTATGAACCAGAGACAATTTTAGGGGGGCGGGGGCGGGAGGGGAGGGATTGGGGTCAGAATGGGGGGGCTGCAATTGTATGGGGAATATAACAATAAAATTTATAAAAAAAAAAAAAAAAAAAAGAGACTAGAGGGTGGCACGACAGTTGAGCGCTGGGCTGCGAGGCTGCCCGCGGCCTCTTTAGCACCGGTTCGTTCCCCGGCCGCCAGTGAGGATCCCACAATAAATAAATTAATTAATTAAGTAAATTAAAAAATAAAAGAGACTAGAGAACAGGTTGACACTTGCGAATACCCAGAATCCCCTTGACCCTCTTAGATGCTGACTTTCCCCCTACTAGTGCTAGATTATTCCTGCCAACACTTAAACTAGCTTAAGCTTGTTTTGTCCCTCTTTAAAAAAAGATCTTTCTTAGAAAAAATTTTTAGACCCATAGCAAAATTTTGTTTTGTCATTTTTTTTTTTCCAACCATTCCAATCTGATCTTTGTCACTGGATGGGTACTTTTCAGTTTTGTATTGACCTCACAGCTCTGTTTGACATGGTTACTCCTTCCTTGAAAAATTTTTCCCTTGATTTTTACATAGACATTGTACTCTTGATATTTTTTTCCTTCTATGCCCCTGTTTCTCATATTACATCGTCAGTTCTCTAAATGCATCCCCAGGATGGAGTCCCCAAGATCCTTTCTGGAAGTCCACAAGGTCAAAACTATTTTCAAAATAACACTAAAAATTTGCCTTTTTCACTTTAATTGATATTTGCATTTAACTTCTGCTCCTTACATTTCAAACAACTTTCTTTGGTTTCTTGAAGCTATGGAGCTACTTTTCTGTCTTAGGATCTTTAAGAATCCTATTCTTAATGCTCAGACTACTTCCCCATAGCTTACACTCCCTATGACTAATATTGAAAAGAGCAACAGGGAGCTATGTGCTACTTACTCTTCAGTTCTTAAACACCATTTCTAGAGTGTTTCCTTGATATATTTATGCCTACCCCCAGATTCAAGTTCTGCTAAGTGCTCTCATAGTACTTAGTTGCATGAGTCATTTAATTATTTGTATGTCTGCCCCACTGTTACTTTTGCCTCACTCAAGCAGAGTGAATTTTGGTCATCATTCTAGCATGGTGTCTCACAGTTTGTAAATATTTGTTCATTGACATGAATGGTGAAAAGCTGTTGCAGTAAAGTAAAAAAAACTGAATAGAATGGTGAAAAGAACCCTGAACTGAAACATAGGAGATTTGGATTTGAATTTTAATTTTGTCATTATCAACTTTGGTAACTAGAATACTGAAGTATTCTAGTTTCCTTATCTGCAAGATAATACTGGTATTAGATATTATGCCAGAGTAGACACTCATTGAATTAATAAAAATTTACACAGCAATATTTGAGTGTCTACCATAGTAGTGCTGAATACTTTGCTAAGCCCTGGAAATACAACGAAGCCTAAAGCAGACTTTTTGGTTTTGTGGAGTTTATTGTAATGGATTTGTATTTGGTGATCCCTAAGTTACATTCCACAAAGATTTTGTGACATGTATTAATGCACAGAAGATATCCTGTTTTGAAGGTTAAATAATTGATGGCATCTTTAAAGGAGCTTAAGAATGTTGATTCACCATTCATTTTTGTAGTTGAAACCTTTGTTTTTGTTTTTCAGTCCAAGCCTTATGCATTTGATCGGGTGTTCCAGTCAAACACATCTCAAGAGCAGGTGTATAATGACTGTGCAAAGAAGATTGTTAAAGGTAAATATATCTAACCTGCTAAGTTATCTCAATAAATAAATGAAATTATGTTTCAGATCTTTGCCATTTATCTCCTGTTTCTCTTTTTCATTTTAATGCCCTTTTGTGTTTAGTTTATTGCAGAAAGAAGTTGTTCAAATAATAAATGGTCAAATATAATTAGGAAACATACCTTTATCAAATTCCTTGACCTAACATATCCAGAATCTAGTGAACGTGTTATAAGACTTAGTGTTATACACTTGTTCTTGAAGATGGAATTTCTATTAGATATTCCCAGAAGAGTTTCTAAGTAGCAATTCTGTAAATACAGCAGCATGAGAATGAAAACAAAATGGCTAGACAAGTTTCTAAAAAGTGATTGAAAATTGCAGTCCATCAGTCTTCTAATTGCAATTTCTTCCCCAGAGACTTATCTTGTAGTCATCAGAGAAACCATTGAGGAATTTAGCATAGATTATCATGGGTGAGAAAAGTATGTGTGTTCCAGTTAATACCATTAATTTATAGTTTCAGTTTTACATTTTCTAAAATCATAGATTATTTTATATTTTCTAAAATCATAGAATGCATACAGTTAAGTGATTATCTAGATTTACTTTCAGTTGCTATAGAAATCCTTTTATCAAAGGGATCTTACAGTTAAATAATCATTATTTCGTGATATGATTTATTCTGTTTTGTGACACCTCTAATTGTTAAAAAGTGCTCCTTCTATGGAAGAACACAGAAAACTCACCAGTAACAGGAGAAAAGGTGGAGTTTATGGACAGAAGTAGGTTTATTAATGTGATGGTGGGAAAATGTAGATGTTCTCTTTAATTCTGACTTGTCTGTGCATTAAGGAAGCAAAATCACCACAGAGAGTAAGAATGGCAGAGGAGGTTCTAGGAAAGGGTTTGAAAACCTCTATCAGTAGCATAGAGGTGACTGGATTAAGGAAAATGGCGGTATTGCCAGGCAGATTTAGGACCCACTTGAGACTAGCTCCTAGAAGTATTGAAATTACCCATTTTGGGGTTTTGCCAGAGACTACAAAAGAGGGAAAGGACAAGAGAATTCAGGTAGTTATGAGTGGTGATAATGGTGAGCCATGGAATCTTAAGGTAGATGGGAGAATGGTGGGGGATTGAAGGACAGTGAAAAAAATGCTAAGATTAGTGTATTGTAGTCTCAGTGGAGTCAGTGGTTTGTTGGGATCAGGACACTATCAGGTCTAATAGATGGATACTTAAACATTAAGATTATGGAGGCAGTGCTGTTAGTATTGAAAAGGTCTAAAGTCTAACTATGTAGTTGGCATCTTATAAAGAGTAAAGGTCAAGATCATGGAGAAAATTGTGTTAAGGATCTCAGATGCCAGGGTATTTTAATGAGGTGATCTAACTACATGGATATTGAAACCATTAAAAAGAATATAAGGTATGTTACTGATAGACATTGGATTAGATGCTGAAATCTTGATAAAGTGAGGGAGAATGAGCTTGTGGTTCTGTTAATGATTGCAGCAAAGAGGAACAGGCCTTGTCATCTTTTGTTGTAAACATCAAATAGTTTTCCGAATGATTGTTCATGAACAATTTTTTTTTTTAAGATTTATTTATTTATACAAGCACTGGGTACTCTCAGAAGCGCGGGAGGGTGAGAGAATTCACCAGAGCCAGAGTGGGGAGCAGAACAGGCAGACCGATGAAATACACTGCTGAGGGGAGCAGCGGGCGCGGCAGGAGAGGTCTGTCATATGTCGCGCCATGTGGGACCCTTGCCTGCGGCCGGGGATCGTACTGGCGCTGCAGAGGCTGTGGGAAACTTCACAGCCCAGCGCTCAACTGCTGCACCACCAGGGAGGCCCTCATGAACAATTTTATTACACTTTTTAGTTGTGATATACTTTTGATATCAGTGCAGTTTAAGATTACATTAGTTTTTTAAATACATTATTCATGAACTAATGAACAATTCAAATGTGTAGATCTTTTTCACATCTGGTGCAGTCAATATTAAACCCTAATCCACACTTGAATATCAAGAGTTTTTATCTTGAGTGCAAGCCTTTAAAGTGCGAATTTCATTTTGTTCATTTTAACTCTTGATCATATTTTGGGTTTTGTTTTTATAGTTAACCTTACATAGAGATCTTGGCTATTAGTATATTTGGGAAGTTGAGGACATTGAAGGGTTTGTTTGTTTGTTTTTAATGACATTAAAGTTTGAAAAGTACTGCTCTTAGTCATTGGTAAAAGGCTTACTGGGCCATGATCCTTAGTCTTTTCTTCTAAAAACTGAGCAAGGTTGTTGGTAGTTAATTAAATCACAGTGGGTATTCAGCGAACTTCAGATACTTTTACTTACACAGTTGTCTAGTTCTTAGTCAACATGTCTACAAAAGTATGATGAAAAACTTGGAATCCTTTTATGAAAGCATGGAACATGACTGATATGTCCCCAAATACCAGTTAAGTGACCCTCCCAAACAGAAAATGAGATTAGTTCAGTTGTAGCTTTTCCTACATGAAATGGTGGTATACTTATCTGTAGTTCTCAGAATCCTGTCATTTTTCCCTTTTCGAAAATGAGTATAATGACAAGTTTAGTCATACCTTCATTCTCTGTGGCTTTTGAAATTTACCCTAGTAGCTGGGAAGCTTTTATCTATAAAATGTAATTCTCTTAAATAACTAGAAACATGGATGTTTTTCAGACCACTCCTCAGCTGTCTGTCTTACCTGAACCTTAAAGTCTTTTTCAATAGTGTTTATTCTGTGTTCCGTTTTGAGGATCATGTAGGCAATGGTAATGAAAGGAGTATCTGTTAATATTTTGTCTTCTAGTCTAGGCAGTACAGGTCTACTCATTGACTTGTTTTTCTGTATATTTTAAAGGCTTTTTAGTGTTGTTTTTGTTTTATAAGACTCACTTATCCTGGACTCCTGCCTTTCTTTTATTGTTACAGAAAAGTTTATCTCTTTTGTACATCCTCAGATATAGGGGCTCTTCAGAATAAATCTCATATCCACCTTTCTTAGAAATTTATTTCCCTGAAGGGTACATGTTTCTACTAATGTTTGTTTTGTTTTATTACTGTTTAAAATTCTAATATAATGTCATTCTTTTGCTGAAACTTCTTTTTGTTTTTCAAAATTTTGCTTCTTTTTTACAGTTCAGAACTGAGTTCTGAATAGCAATTTCATTCTTTGCAAGTTGTGTTGCACAGGCTTTAGAATTAAATAAACCTGGATTAGAATCCAGGGTCTGCCGTATTCTAGCTTGTAACTTTTGGCAAGTTATCTACCCTTCTAAGTTCCATTTCCTCTTCTTCAGAATAAGGGGCTGTGAGGATTTTTTTTTACTATAGATCCATGAAAATGTATTTCACCCAGGGCCTGGTACAAAGTAAGCACACAGTAGTTGTGAACTACTAATTGTTTCTTCCATTTTCTGAGAGAGAAAATTATTTTCTTAATTTTATTCAACCTTAGTTGTGTTTGGGATTCCTCATAGCCCAAGATATTTTCACTCTACAAAATTAAAAGTTCAAGTATTTGTTATAATAGAAGCTTTCTGTCATTATGTATTTCCCTTTTTTTTTTCTTTTTTTAAGATTATTTATTTTATACAAGAATCTGGGTACAGGCCAGATGCGTGGGAGGGTAAGAGGATTCACCAGAGACAGAGCGGGGAACAGGACAGGCAGACTGATGAAATAATACACTGCTGAGGGGAGCAGTGGGTGCGACAGGAGAGGTCTGCCACACCAAGTGGGACATTCGCCGTCCAGCCGGGATTGAACCGGCACTGCAGAGGCTGCGAACAGCTTCACAGTGAGGTGCTCAACCACCTGTGCCACCAGGGGAGGCCCTATGTATTTCCCATATCTATGCCAGCTTTGTAATTTATTAAATATATTGGAAAATTTTCACCTGGCTATTACTTTTTCCCTTTTTTTTTAAGATTTATTTTATTTATGCATCCAAAAACTGGGGTATAGGCCAGAGGTGTGGGGGGTGAGAGGATTCACCAGAGACAGAGTGGGGAGCAGAGCAGGCGGATCGACTGAAATATACTGCTGAAGGGAGCAGCAGGTGAGACGGGAGAGGTCTGCTGTGCCATGTGGGTTAGCTCCCTGGTTGGGAATTGAACTTGTGCTGCAATGGCTACAGTGGCTGTGGATAGCTTCATTGTGCTGAAACTTAACCCCTTGTGCCACCTGAGAGGCCCCTCACTTTTTCCTTTAATCTTTATCTAAATGCCCTGTACCTTTTTGGGTAGCTGGGATGTTGTAGGTAGTAGAACTTGTCCTAATCAAGGATATGAATGTGGCAGTGTTACCAATACATACAGAGATTTAAGGAACAGGGGAAGAGAGTCAATGGTGGGTTCCAAGTGAGGTGTGAAGACTAGAAACCAATTAAGTACATGGTAGATTGGACTTAAGACAATTCAGTGGCCAACAGAGTAGATGGAAAGCCATTGTTAAAAATTCTTGGTAGAGAAGGATCAGAACAATCATGGGTCATGATAATTTCTTCTGTGATATGGGTTTGATGAGCAAGCTGTTAGGAATAATCTGAAAGCAGCTACTACTCCCTGGCCCTGGCAGTCTAGTGGGTTTCATTGTTTAATAAATTTCCTACACATTTCATAATGTGTAAGGCTATTCACTACCTTTCTTTTTTTTATAGATTTATTAGAGTTTTTCTTTTGAACAAGCCTTATCCATTTGAATTCTCTTTTGAGTTCTGAATTATCTGCAAGTTTATTTCTTCTTTATGAAGTAGTTACCCTTTATTCAGTACTTGCTATGAACCAAGCCTTCATAGATTCTCCCCAATTTCCCACCATAGCTTCTGGACCTGGACTGTCTACCACTGTATCCATCCTTCGTTTTTCCAGATACTATGTGCATATACTTATTTTCATTCCTATGTTCCTTGAGAATATAGTGAAGTAAAGAGCATACTTTTGGAACCAAGATTGCGTGGATTTGTATCCATCTTAATAGCTGTGCAACTATAGGCAAATTATTTAACTTCTCTGAGTTAGTTTTCTCAACTGTAAAATGGTAATATAGTATCTTGCATAGGGTTTGTGAGAATTAAATGCATTAATACATGAACAGTTGTTACAGCCTGGCATGCTGTCCACTCTTAAGTGTTAACAATAATAAGTTTATATAATGATTTCTAATTCTCACAACCTTTCTATAGGCAGACATTTTTGCTGATGAGGAAGTGAAGGGCAGAGAAGTTAGAAGGTGGTATGCTTAGCTACTGGTTTTCTTATTTACAAAGTGTGGGGAAAAATGTAGTATTTCTCCATATGCTGCCTTTCCCTGTTGCTCACAAGAATAGCGAAAGTATATTTAAAAAGAGAAGGGAGGCTTTAGAGAGATGCTGTTGTATTAGTGATGATGATAATCATTCAACAAGCATTAGAATTCTAAATGTCAAGCACTAGGCTAGAAATTAAACACAGTCCTGGTCTCAAGGAGTTTATAGATTGGTGAGAAAGGCAGAAAAGTAAATTGACATTTGTAATTTACAGTGATAAGTATGAGTAAATGCAGATGCTGTAAAAACGTAGGATTGTACTCTTACCCAGATTTATTTGTGGATGGGTTATAGAGATAAGGTGGAGGAAGAAGTAAAGCCTGAGCCGATCTTGAAGGCTAAACATAGAGTAGGAAGGAGAGGTGTATCTTCTAGGCAGAGAGATGATTTGTGCTAATGCATGCTCATGTGAGAAGAGTACTATATGTTGGGGAACTGGATACATTATGGTATGATTTAAAAGTTATATAAATTATATATATAAAATTATAACATTTCATATTGTCAAATTTGACCATTTTTACCAATAAAAAAAGTAATGTGAGGCAAAGGATGGTTGGAGATGTTGTGACAAAGCAAAGAAAGAGCAAGGTCAAAAAGTGCCTGTTTTACCTGATGACAGAATTTTCAAATTGATGGGCACTGTTGCATATTTTTGAAGATCTTAAGATACGTACATTTCATCATATGTAAATTTTACCTCATAGGAACAAAACTGGAATATATTGAATTCTAGTTAATGTTATTTGCATAGGTGTCATAGGTTGGTTTATTAAATTCTGCAGTTCACTTGTTTGGCAGAACATTATTTTTCTCTTAAGTCACATAAAACTTTGGAATACCGATGTAATAACTTTTGAGATGTACACTGACATAAGAGATGGTATTAAGGAACAGAATTTAAATTTTGTTTCTTGTTGATCATGAAAGTTATCTGGGCTGGAGAGAGTGTAACTGTGGATGAATTATCACTAAGAAAATTGGTATTAAATATATTTTTATTTTCTTTAATGTCTTTATAAATCCTTCATGCACTAAACTTTGATTTTAATGTAGGCTTTGATGTAGTGTAAAGAAAATCTGAGTCCTCGCAATTCTTCCCACAAATATGCAGCTGATTATGCATACATAAGCAACAGGGTTAATATGTGTATGAATTTTTTTAGAATGTTTTCTGGCATTCTTAGGTAATTTCATCTGAATCTTGCTTAAGGAAAAAAAAAATCCCTTGAAGCATAAATATCTTCTTTTCCTATAGATGTACTTGAGGGATACAATGGGACAATATTTGCGTATGGACAAACATCTTCTGGGAAGACGCACACAATGGAGGTAACATTTTATAATCTGTGCTTGGATATAGTTTTCAGTAATAGACAATACAGCCATTCATTATTTGTGAAATTATTTCTTTGTGTGAGTTTGATTAGTGAAATTACGTTATTTGAAATCATATCTAGCTTTGTGTCATCAGTTAGCAAACCACAGAATTGGAAACATTTTACAATTAAACAGGAATAATGGAAATTTTGAATGTTTATGTGTTTTCAATTCTATTCAGAGCAATTAATTTTTTCCTTCTCTACTTGGTCCCAAATACCAGTCACTCTTTGATAAGAAGTAATGTCTCCAAAATTATCAGTGCTGCTATTAATAATAGAGCTGCTTAATCTTTGCTTCTAGAAAACAAAAGTTTTCTGTGATCTGCTTTTATTGTTTATTTCATCATACTGTTGAGTAAATGACTGCTTATTTTAGTGTAATTCGTATTACTGGTTTTCATAAAGTCATAGAGAACAGGGACAGTCTTGACATTTGCATAAAGTTGACTCAAAATGGTTGGAACAATATAGATTTATAGGAAAATGAACTAAAACTTTCTCCTTTATTATCCACTCATTTAGAAGAGTGGATAATATAAATCTAATAATTAATAAGAAACTAAGATCAGTTGGTAACTCAGGTTGACATACAGTATGTGTAATTTAGAAAAGGAGATAATAATTGCATTAGGTTTTTAGTTATTTATAGAGCTATTTTCACCAAAAAATGGCAACAATTGCAATTTCTATATTATATTGACTAAATTATTGATTGAAAGTTTTTGTTTTTAGTTCATACTTTATTGTTTAAGAAGTCTGACTTTATTTTTGTTTTAGGGTAAACTTCATGATCCAGAAGGCATGGGAATTATTCCAAGGATAGTGCAAGATATTTTTAATTATATTTACTCCATGGATGAAAATTTGGAATTTCATATTAAGGTAAAAATCCTTGGGGGAAAAAACTGTATTTTATATCTAGAATAATTCTTTTCCCCAAAATAATAAATGTTGTCTTCCTTTTTTAATATATTTAAAAAATTATGGACACTTGTAGCTGAAAAATCAGTTAGATGACTTTAAGTTAGTTTTTGCTTAGCCTTCTTTAACAAGTCTATTTTGCTTAGCTGCCTTATCTGTAAAATTAGACAGTTTTACTAGAGAATTTAAGGTTATTACTATGACTAGTCTAATTCATTTTAAATGAAGGTTTGAAATTGCTTTTTAATTAAGTGGTTTATTTAGAATATGAAATATGACTGAGTTGTTAATAGCTCTGTCCTCCTGCCTAAATGTTGCCTATTTCTAATTTTAATTCATTCATCTTTTTATTTCTTTGTTCTTTAGGTTTCATATTTTGAAATATATTTGGATAAGATAAGGGACCTATTAGATGGTAAGTGAATTATTTTTCTTTTATCATTTTCAAAAGCAAGGTTTTTTTTTTTTTGAGTAGCAGATATGAGACCATTATTTCTTAGTAATCTATGTGAAATTGACTTAAATTGTTAGAAACATTTAGAAATTCTTTTCAAGTTTTAGTTAAATGCCTTTTACTACATTGAATGACTTTTTTAAAGGTACATGTTTATGAATACTTCTTAAATAGTAATTAGAGCATTGGACTGGAGTTGGAGAACCCAGGTCTGTGTGCTGGTTTTCTGTTAGCTGTCAGATATTTTGTCCTTGGCAAACCATTGAACCACTCTGACTTATTTCCAAAATGTAGGTTCTGTATTCTGTATTTTATATTTCCACATTTAAATTTCCTATTTCTATAGAATCTTGCTTTAATAATGATTTCATATTTTTGAAAGTTTACCATTATTGTTAGGCTGTCAGGGAAAGAAACAATTGAATTAGCTATTTCATCATCAGCATTAGAGTTCAGGAAAATGTTTCTAATGTTACTATTTTTCCTTTTTCAGTTTCAAAAACCAACCTTTCAGTTCATGAAGATAAAAACCGAGTTCCCTATGTAAAGGTATTTATGAAATAATATAGAATGATTGTTTTGCAAAGCCATTTTTAAGTACCTTAAAAGTAATTGACATTCTTTTAAAATTATTTCACAGGGGTGTACAGAGCGTTTTGTTTGTAGTCCAGATGAAGTTATGGATACCATAGATGAAGGAAAATCCAACAGACATGTAGCAGTTACAAGTAAGTAAAATATTTATTAACACAAGGTAAAAAAGGTTTTAAAATACCTTTTATCAAGTTGATTAATTGTAATTTTTGTCTTGTGTAAAATTATGCTCTACAAACTATTAGGGAAAGCCATGCTTATTTATAGTTTGTGTAATTTCATTGCAGATATGAATGAACACAGCTCTAGGAGTCACAGTATATTTCTTATTAATGTAAAGCAAGAGAACACACAAACGGAACAAAAACTCAGTGGAAAACTTTATCTGGTTGACTTAGCTGGTAGTGAAAAGGTAAAATCTTTATACTTTGATATCTTAGTATTTTTATAAGCATAGTAGCTTGAATTTGGACTTAACACATCCGTTGTGTTGAAAAGTTTTAATAAACTGGGTTTGGTAATACTTCTTGGTTACAAACATTGACTCCAGTTTATAATTACAGAAATTGCAGATTACCACCATTTGAGCCAAAGTCCGTTATTTCCATTGACTTAATGTTTTGGGGAGTTTTTTTTGTTTTTCTTACTGAGAAGTTGTTCAGCATATGTCATTATGGATTTCATTAGATATCCTTTTCTAATTTTTGGTAATTACTTTAGCCATATTGGCAGTGAGCTCCCTGTGAAAACTGGTAATTGCCCATTACTCTTTGCTGGTTTGATTGTGTTTATTTCTTTCCTTTGGATGATTGTTTATTATACAGTCCTCTGTAATCTGAGTCTCGTTTATGTCAAAGTCAGAATAAGTTAAAATGTTTTAATATTGACCTCTGTTGCCACTGGACGGGAATTAGCATTTTTTGTTCTTTGTGTCTTATGGTTAAAAGAACATACCCATACCCTCCTACTCAAGTCTTAACACACATCTTTCAAACCCTGTTTAATTTTGTGAATTTTGAGAGGTCATTTCTTCAGCCAACATTGCAAATAAATAAATACTTTTTATCTTTAACATTTACATTTTTCTTTTAAAGAAATTCATGTATATAAACTAGGTCTGTTTTCTGACTGCATCAATATTATGCTTTAGCAAATTTTAAAAAGTTCTTCATTTCTAATGTAGTTAAGGGGACTAAAAATTAGTAAAATGTGGAATTAGTTATTTTCAAGAGCACAAACTAAAAATAAAATTTGGTATCTCCTTAATCGCATTTTTGTCAAATGACTAGCACTAGATCTGTTTCTTAGGAATGTTCAAGAAATACTGGTACCTTAAACATTCAGCAAATGAAGTTTTTTTTTTTTTTTTAAAGATTTTTATTTATTTATGCAATAGCTGGGGTACAGGTCAGAGGTGTGGGAGGGTGAGAGATTCACCAGAGAGAAAGTGGGGAGCAGAACAGGCAGACTGACTGAAACACTGCTGAGGGGAGCAGCTGGCGAGGCAGGAGAGGTCTGGCGCGCCATGTGGGAATCTCCCTGGCTGGCTGGGAATCGAACCTGCACTGCAGAGGCTGCAGACAGCTTCTCAGCGCTGTGCTCAACCCACTACACTATTGGGAAGGCCCCAGCAAATGAAGTTTTGAAGCATTTAATTTTCTTTCTTTTTGCTGAGTATTGATAGCCTCTAAACTTTTGAGATGACTATATCACATAAAACCAGTAAATAGGTCATCTTTATTTAAGCACACATGTAGAATTGAGTGGTAGTTCATCTTAGTGGCATTTTAACAAAAAGGCACTTACCTTCATGTATATCTATTCAAAGAATAATAAACTTTTGAGAAATTTTCTAAAAAAAAAAAAAAAGGATAAAACTTATTCATTCCTTTGAAATCTTACATAGGTTAGTAAAACTGGAGCTGAAGGTGCTGTGCTAGATGAAGCTAAGAACATCAACAAATCACTCTCTGCCCTTGGGAATGTAATATCTGCCTTGGCTGAGGGTAGTGTGAGTATACATGTCTTCTATTTTCCTGATGTACTTATATGGAGAGCTACTTAAACAGATGTGTATGTATGTGTGAGTCACTGAGTAAAAGATTGACTGTCTTGGAGTCAATATGTGTGAATTACTTGTTTTTTTGCGTTTATTTTTTGGTATTTATATCCTAGTTCCTAGCTAAAACAACTTTATATCCGTGATTTATTTATTAAATCTCAGTTTGTTTAAAGTAACATTTAACAAATTTTGTTACATTGAAACCCATTAGTCGTCTTTTTTTTTGTTTGTTTTTGAATGTAGACGTATGTTCCATATCGAGATAGTAAAATGACAAGAATCCTTCAAGATTCATTAGGTGGCAACTGTAGAACCACTATTGTAATTTGCTGCTCTCCATCATCATACAATGAATCTGAAACAAAATCTACACTGCTGTTTGGCCAAAGGTTTGTTGGAAAGAAAATAAAATCTAAGTGTAGATATATATATATACTTTGTTAAATCTAGGAAAATGTCAGATAACTAGTGAAATCAGTGCATTTGTTAGTATGTGCTAGTTACAACTTTTTAAATTGAGACACATGATACAAGCAAGGTTCATTTTTTTTGTGTGAATTAAGTTTTAGTACATGTTAAAGTCACATATTAACTTTTGTATATTAGAAATTTTAATTCAGCATTAAAAGAAATAAGCCTTTGAATTAGTAAAGTAAAAGCCTGACAGATTACAAATATAATCCTGTTTTAAACCTGTTGGCCTATGCAATAGGTTCAGATAATCTACATGAATGTTTACCTTAGGAAAATCAGTAAGGATGACTTGATCAACAATAATTTCTAATTCAACCTTACAAACGAATTGGAAATGTAGGCCATCGTTCTTTGTTCTCATCAAGTTTTTGATTTACTTTTTTTAAAAAGCTATTTGCAGATGTTAGGCTAACCCAAATTTGGTTGGATTGCGAATATGTACTATTCTAATTGCAAATCTCAGTAATTAGTCAAAGATATAATGGACAAAAATAAGTTAAGCAATTTTAGTCACATTCCTTTTTTCCCCCAATTACTCTCTTAGGGCCAAAACAATTAAGAATACAGTTTGTGTCAATGTTGAGTTAACTGCAGAACAGTGGAAAAAGAAGTATGAAAGAGAAAAAGAAAAAAATAAGACCTTGCGGAACACTATTCAGTGGCTTGAAAATGAACTCAACAGATGGCGTAATGGTAATTATTGAAGGATATGTCATTTTGAGATTGTTGAATAACAACTCAACTATCAAATCTGATAAGACTATAAATGAAAGTTACAAAGTATATCCATTTCTACTTTTTAAACATTTGGGATCATCATATAGAAATAAAGTCTTTTACCTTAAATTCTGAATTTACCTGAAATAATAAATATGGCACAGAGGACAACTGGGAAGCTATAGAAGTCACAAGATGGCAAAGTGTCTAGATCAGGATGAAAGCAGCAAAAATTATAAAATTTGATGACTGAATTTAGGTGATGGGAAGAGTCAAAGATTATTCAAATGTTTCAATTCTCAGGGATAAGAAAGTAAGAACTCCTGAAAGAGAATAAAATTGAAGTTAGTAATACTCTTGATTATTAATGATTCTGTTTTGTTTTTTTGTTTTTTTTTTTTCTGAAATTATTATTCATTCTGTTATTTTAGGGGAGACAGTGCCTATTGATGAACAGTTTGACAAAGAGAAAGCCAACTTGGAAGCTTTTGCAGTGGATAAAGATATTACTGTTACCAATGATAAACCAGCAGCTACAATTGGAGTTACTGGAAACTTTACTGATGCTGAAAGAAGAAAGTGTGAAGAGGAAATTGCTAAATTGTACAAACAACTTGATGACAAAGTAAATATTGGTCATATTCTCTTTCATTTTGAAATATTAACATGGGTGTTTTTATTTTCTAATTTTAATACTAGGGTGTCCTCATTGCCTATGTACATTTTCTTTGAAATCTGTTAGCCTTTTAAAAATCACTGTATTAACAGAAGATATGGTATCATAATTTCGGTTTCTTTGTAGAAACCTATGTATGAAGCATAGCTTTCTCCCCCCCCCCCCACCCTACCCCCCCACTTTTTAAACTTAAAGAAAATTCCTAAAGGAAATGAGTCATTAGATCATTTGAGAACCTTAGCAAAATGACCTCTTAGAATCAGGGCTTGGAGGACTGTAAAGAAAGCTCGTATAAGAGATTAGAGGAAACAAAATAAAATGGAAATATTTTCCTGTTTTAATTATATCATTTAGTATTATAAAAAATAGCAAATTATGAAAAGAGGAAGGGAAATAAGAATATAAAGAAACTAAGAACATGATTCTAGTTCTGTTTTTGTTTGAATTTTAGGTGGTATGTTTTGCATACTTTTAACCAGAGGGCAGGTTCAAAGTGGATGCATGGATATTATTTTCAGTAGCATCTTTAAACATGTTAATTTTAACATTCATTAAGTTGTTTAATGAATAGCTTTCATAAACATAAGCTCCTCTTCTTGTAATTCCATCCAGTCAGAATTATTGAGTTTAAAACAAACTTTGAATTTGGAGAAATGGTTTTGAAATATTTCATCTTAAAATTTGTTTTAGAAAACAGTTGAAACCAGGTTTTGCGTTACTCTCAATTTGTTTCTTTAAAATTCTAGGATGAAGAAATTAATCAACAGAGTCAGCTGGTAGAGAAATTGAAGACACAAATGTTAGATCAGGAAGAGGTAAGCTGAATGCCCTCAATATTGCTTCCAGAAAAACTTCGTAGCTTGTAATTATCCTTTAAACATAAAAGATGAGAAAATCTACAGAACTCAGAATATACTAGTAGTACATTTTAAATTCTTTTGAATATGTGCATGTTTCAATCTAGATACCCTGTTGAGATCTCTACATAATAGGATTGAAGCAAAGGTTGACTTCTTAAGGGTTTTTGCTTTCAGTTTGAGTTCTAACTGGAAGGTAGAACTTTTTGTGGTATTTATTTTTTAAATATAAAACAGTTCTTTAAAAACATTATTTGATTTTCTTTAACTGTCTTCTACTTTGCTGCCTTTGAATTATAGTAGTTTTGTTTAATTTTTCTCAAGACTTCTTACTGATCCTTGAGAAAGACTTATTAGACTGAAGTCACTATAATACTTCCTCTCAGTGAAAGTATTTACACACAAAATGAAGGAAGAAATGTAAAAATGTTTTATTCTTGCTCATTCACTTCAACAGAAATACAGGTTATAAAGGGACTATTAAAGAATATTTTTGAATCCCATTGACTTTGTTGTTGATAATTGCATAATTTTACGTAAGACTCATTGTGAGAATAAAATATTAATGAAATTATTTTTTACTTCACCATTTCTGTCTTCATCTAATTTATTCATGTCTGTCATCTATATTTTCATCTTAGTTCTTCTAAATTTCTCTTCTCTGATTTGTCACTTAATTTCAACTCTCATTTTACTTCACTTGGCACAGCATGATGATATCTCTTAAATGTTCTTAACTTAAGGTTTGCTGTAGGTGTTGGGTGGCCAAGACTGTACAACTTCAATGAGAGAGCCACCATCTGTCAAACAGATCCTGATCAGATCATTTTTATATTTAACTATAGCATTGTTTCTCAAGGGAGCACTAGTGATGTGCATGATTGTTCATTATATTTTGTCTTATTAGTTAGTACCTCTGCAGTCAAATGCTCTACCCCTGAGCTATACCTCTAACCCCTACTTCTAAGTTACATTAGTATTCTGCTTCTTTATTATTAATCACAAAAGTTTTCAAATGCCTCAACTAAAAGCCACTGATCTTGGATGGTAATATCCTGCCAAGTAGTCTCATGTTCAATTTTATATGCTGATTCCAGATTTTACTGAGGCACAGGTTAGATGCCATCCCTTGTTGCCCAGGAAACAGAACTTTTGAGCAAATCTTATAGACGTTTACTAATATCTTTTTTCTATGCACACTGTTCCTGAATCCATTACACCTTTTTCTTTCTTTTACACTGATTTCCACATGACTAAAATCTTCCTGTTGCCGCCACATTCTTCATGAATACCCTACAGAAATATCCCCTCTTTTCAAATACTTACCAAGCATTTTATCTGTTTTCTTGTCCCTCCTCTTTAGCTCTCACATTCTTTCTTGTATTACTTTTAATTACATACATGTCTTTTCTTCTACTAAGCTTTTCATGGGCACGGTATTGGATTTCCTTCCGGTCTCCCACATTTTTAGTCTCACTTGTACATATTAGACATTGAGTAAATCTATTGAATGAATGTTGCCACACTTAACGAATGTCTACTTTTCACTCCCTTTGTACTTAACAATGTGGGACAAATACATTTTTTTTAACCTGTGTACTTTTGGTAAAAGTTTAGTAACTCTACTTTTTCATGTAGCTTCTGGCATCTACCAGAAGGGATCAAGATAATATGCAAGCTGAGCTGAATCGCCTTCAAGCAGAAAATGATGCTTCTAAAGAAGAAGTAAAAGAAGTTTTACAAGCCTTAGAGGAACTTGCTGTCAATTATGATCAGAAGTCTCAGGAAGTTGAAGACAAAACTAAAGAATATGAATTGCTTAGTGATGAACTGAATCAGAAATCAGTAAGATATAGTTTTGTTTTCTTAATTCTTTAATACAAGTATTCATAATTGAAAAATTACCCAAGCTGCTGATTGCTATATAAATGTAAAATTGATAATAGTTGTTCAAGAGTTCAAGTCTCAACTTCATTTCCTCCTACATATGAAGCCTTAGAGGTAGAGGGTGGAGGGTTATCTTTTTAGATCTTAAAGATCTATTATGTAATAAAATGCTGTTTTAAGACATGTTGGCTATTCCTCATATTATTATAACTTTTTTTTTTTTTTTTTGTGGGACCCTCGCCGGCAGCCGGGGAATGAACCGGTGCTACAGAGGCTGCAGGCAGCCTTGCAGCCCAGCGCTCAACCACTGTGCCACCAGGGGAGGCCCTATTATAACTTTAAAGGGAAAAATTAGATTCTAGCTGCTCAGTAAAGTTTTTAGTGGTTATTCAAAGTACAGATTAAGAAATGTGCACATAAAAATAGAGAAAATCATATGGGTATGTACATTCATATAACTTATATTTTGTTCTGTTTTATTCCCAGTACCTGGAATGATACCTAAACAGTGTAGTAGGATCTTTCTTGTGATTCCTCAGTAAATGAGGGTTTCTGTTTGTTACAAGTTTTCTGTCATGGTTACAAGGAGGGATAGCCATCTTTCAAAGATGATGCCAGAAATAGTACAAAACTGATTTTTACTGATGCATTCAGCATCATCCTGTTTTTACTTACTTCTTGTTTAGAATTCAGTATCTGTAGCTGGACTCGGGATCAATGCTCAGTGCTTATTTCAGTGTTCACCTATTTAATAAAAATAGATAAAATAGCATTTTAAGAAGATTTTGTGCCCTAATGAAAAGTTAATTTTCCCTTTTCCAATTTCCAAATTTAGCTTGAAGTTATGACTTAATATCATAGAGATCAAGACATCTTTATAACGCATAACAAGCTGCATTATTAGCAGGCCTATTAGATGATTGGAAGAACATTAGGAGTTTCTTATACTCTTCAAGCTTTCAGTTGGTACTTTGTCACTCATTTTGGTTTTTAAGACAGTTGTTTCTGTGCTCCAGTTTTGAAGCTGAAATCTATCAGCACTATATTGATAATAGGAATTAGAAACCCTCAGTGTTCCATATGTGTTTATATGCTTACAGTATTACATTTTCATAGAGAAAATGTCTAACTAGTCATTTATGGTAGAAGCATATTACATTTGAGATTTGAAAGATTGCTGGTATTATATATTAAACTGGGTGAACACACTTTACTGATACTCAGAAAGTTAAAGAAATGACCAAAAAAATCTTTACTAAAAGATAGTGTCTAAAAATTGTATTCAAATACAGGATCTGATTTGTGCCATAATAAATAGTTTATTGGATTTGAGTTTTCAAAATTGTGGTGACTTTGTTATTAGTAACCAACTATTGGAACTTTATAATTACAATATTTAAACTCATCATTAACTCATAATAATTGCTAGTCCACTCAGTAGCTAGTTCAAGTAAATGAAATTAGAAAAATAATGGATTTGTGAGTACTGGGTAAAAACTTGAAATACCTGTGAATATTTGAATTCATCTTTTATTTAATAGACTTAACTTTGCTTTTTGTTTTTGGTTCTCTTAGGCAACTTTAGCAAGTATAGATGCTGAGCTTCAGAAGCTTAAGGAAATGACCAACCACCAGAAAAAACGAGCAGCTGAGATGATGGCATCTTTACTGAAAGACCTTGCAGAAATAGGAATTGCAGTAGGAAATAATGATGTGAAGGTAAATGTTATAATCAAATATTAAGTATAATTATTTGTACAAAACTCATACTTTTGTTTAGTTCTGGTTTTTTATAAAGCTCTTTTCATATACTCTCATCTCTGCAACAGCCATATGTAGTACATGTTTTAACTTCATTGTAAATAGATAAAAGAGAAAGAAATAAGGGACCTTCAAGTATGTATAGTCAGTAAATAGCATGTATTTAGACCCCATGGCTTGTTCTGTCCTTTTACAATTTATTTAGCAATTGCGTTAATGAATTACTATACATAAAAGTTTATAACTGGAACAATAGTGAAGATTAGTTTGGTTGAAGATTGGCTGTGGTTGCTTTAAATGTTTGAAAAGGTAAAAGATGAGCTCTGCTAATTCATTCTTTTAAAATTTCATTATGAGGGCCTCCCCGGTGGCGCAGCGGTTGAGCACTGGGTTGCGAAGCTGCCCTCAGCCTCTGCAGCGCCGGTTCGATCCCCGGCTGCTCCCCGGCCACCGGAGGAGGGTCCCACATGGCGCGCAGACCTCTCCAGCCGCCCGCTGCTCCCCTCAGCAGTGTACTTCGGTCCTTCTGCCTGCTCTGCTCCCCGCTCTGGCTCTGGTGAATTCTCTCACCCTCCCGCGCTTCTGACTGTACTCAGTACTTGTATAAATAAATAAAAAATAAATAAATTTAAAAAAAAAAAAGAAAATCTTTAAAAAAAAATAAAATAAAATAAAATTTCATTATGAAATATTTCAAACAAAGTAGAATATTAACCTTGGATTTACCATTTACCAACTCTTTATCAGCTATGTCTTTTGAAAATATTTTGCCCAGTCTGTAGTTTACTTTTTCATTCTCATAACATCTTTGCAGAGCAGAAATTTTTAATTTTGACAAAGTTCAACTTACAATTTTTTCTTTCAAGGGTTGTATTTTTGGCATTCTATTTGAAAACACCAAGCACAAGGTCAACTAGATTAGGTGACATGTTATCCTAGATTGAATAACATATTTTCTTCTGTATTAGCTCCTGTAAGTTTTTTAGTTTTATGTTTTCATGGAGGTCTGTGATCCACTTGGATTTAGTTTTTCTGAAAGGTAGAAAGTCTATCAGAATTACTGGTTTACATGTGAAGGGACCACTTTTGTTCCAGCATGATTTGTTGAAGAACCTATCTACATTTCCTTAAGTTTGACCCTTTGTCAGAGATCACTTGAATATAATTATGCAGTACTCCTCTGGGCTCTTTTCTGTTTTAATGACTTACTTGAATGTTCTTTTGCCACTACTACACCGTCGTTAATTACTGTCTTAGAGTAAATATTGAAGTTGGTTAGTGATGGTCCTTGGACTTTGTTCTTTAGTATTGTGTTGGCTATGCTAGATCTTTTACCTTTCATATAAATTTTTAGAATCAGTTTGTCTGACAAATTGTCCACAAAATAATTGCTGGGGTTTTGGTTGAGATTATATCAAATCTGTAGATCAAACTGGGAAGAAGTGACATCTTAACTATATTCAATCTCCCTATCCATGAACTTGGAATATTTCATTTTAGTTCTTCCTTTTATTTCTTACCTCGGTGTTTTCTAATTATCTTGTATACATCTTGCACGTGTCATGTTACATTTATACCAAAATACTTGATTTTTATGGTGCTAGGTTGCATTGTGTCTTTTTAATTTCAAATTCCACTTGTTTGTTGCTGTTGTATAGGAAAGTTATTGCCTCTTGTGTGTTTATCTTGTATACTCCAGTGTTATACAGTATTTATTTTTTTATTTTTTTCGAACAAGCATGACCTCTGTATAAAAAATAGTGGTTTTGTTTTTTTTTCTTCTCAAGTTCTATTTACTTTTGACACTGAATATTGTACTTAAAATTCAGTGACTACATGATATTTAAGGAGTATAAAGTGACTTAAAAGTCATTCTTTCCATGCCATCTAAAGATCCTTAGAGTCTAATTGGGAAATACACTGGGATTTTTGTCTTCAGTTTTTTATTTTGCTTCTTCTCACAGCAGCCTGAAGGAACTGGCATGATAGATGAAGAGTTTACTGTTGCAAGACTGTACATTAGCAAAATGAAATCAGAAGTAAAAACACTGGTAAAACGCTGCAAACAATTAGAAGGTACACAGACTGAGAGCAACAAAAAAATGGAAGAAAATGAAAAGGAATTAGCAGCATGCCAGCTTCGTATCTCTCAAGTATGTTTTACGAAGTTTCTTCATTTTTTGGCTGGTTGTATATACATTTTATTCGATGTTAAAGTTTTAAGAAAAATCAATTCCTTAGGTTATTTTGGAAACCAAAATGGGAGGTTAATTCGTTCCGTTTTCTCTAGTCTTACTTTACTATAATAATAGAATGATTAAGCTGCGTTACATGTATGGTAAATACTGAAGTATATTTGAAAGATATGACTGATGTGACCATTAAAGAATCTAGAATTCTAGGCTGGAGAAAACTGCAGATATAATTTTCTGGCTTTGGAAATTGAATGGTTGAAGCCATTCACCAAGATGAGAATTACAGATGAAGGGTAGAAGGTAGCATCAGATGGATGTAACAATAAGACTAGGTTATCTCATATTTTAGCCTTCGGTACCTTAGTTTGCACATGTAATAAACAGCACAGATGACCCTTTCATTTATTAAATTCTTTATTATAAATCTGGCCCCTGAATATTTCATTTCCCTTAAATGTATTGTACATTTAGATATATCCATAAAACTTTAAAATATACTTAGTAGCAACAAATTGTGTGGGTGAGGGTTTTTTCCCACTTTCATGTTAATGTATTTTCCCCAAAAGCATGAAGCCAAAATCAAATCATTGACTGAATACCTTCAAAATGTGGAACAAAAGAAAAGGCAGTTGGAAGAATCTGTTGACTCCCTTGGTGAAGAATTAGTCCAGCTTCGAGCACAAGGTATTAGCTTCCAGTTATTTCTGAGTTATATCCTTGAGTTAATTTTTTCTTAACTTTAGTATAATTATAGTTAACTTACACTGTTTGCAAATGGTAGGAACAGGAAGCAAATAATGTTTTTGTGTAAGTTTGAAACATACTTTTGAATATGTTTGAATAAGAAAGTGCCCAATCTGAGAATTTCCCATAAAATAATTAAGGGTGTGTGTGTGTGTGTAAATCTTGACATGGAGAATATGGAATGCTATCTTATTTCTCTAATGTGCCCTTCCCCGTCTGTTTTCAGAGATAGGCACATAAATTATGGGAATCATGATGTCAAAACATATCATAACCAAGAGTACTTAGTCAGTTGTCATTGTATTTGAGGGCAAGATTTACTACATGGCACTTGGATAATTTAAAGTCAAGTACTGCTAAGGACTGTATCCCCATATAAAACCCGAATATATACCCATACAAAACCCATTTGCTTCTTGGTTTATATGAAGAATTTAGTGATTTATTTCTTCTTTTGTTTCCTCTTCATACCCACAGAGAAAGTTCATGAAATGGAAAAAGAGCACTTAAATAAGGTTCAGACTGCAAATGAAGTTAAGGTAAGTTTGCAGTAACATTAAATTTCAATGGTGGTAATCCATCTTTATTAATATTGAATGGTCTAACATAACATCTTCCTTCAATAATTTTAGCAAGCTGTTGAACAACAGATTCAGAGTCACCGAGAAACTCATCAAAAACAAATTAGCAGTTTGAGAGATGAAGTTGAAGCAAAAGAAAAACTTATCACTGATCTTCAAGAGTAAGCATATATTTAAGATTTTAGAAACTAAGAAAGATGACTACTTAGGCAAAAGGAAAGAAATAATATGTTTAGGATGACAATGTAGCTATATTATAAGCCTGTGTTTTTCATTAAAATTATAATATTTGATGTGAAAAATAAGTTTATTTGTGAATATTCATCTAAATTTCAAGTTAAATTTTTTTTAATTGTATTTGAAATACCATTATTTTACATCCTTGGGTAGTGTTTTGACCATATAGGATTTCACACACAGGTATAGTCACTGTAACCTTCCCTCTACCAAAGCACCCATACTCCTTCACCACAGTTCATTGAATTCTATCTGCTACATTCCCTTGTTTTCATCCCTCTCGCTCCCCTTATCCCTCTGAAAGTCAAAGTCATTGGTTAGTTTTCAAATGTTGGTTTTAAAGTTTGTCTTTGTCTGATCCTTTGTTTGGTTTTTCTGTATAATGCATCAGTGACACCATGAAGTAATTGTCTTTCTCCTTCTGACTTATTTCACTTGGTATAATCCCTTTCAGCTCCATCCATGTTGTTGCTAATGGTGTGGGTATCTTTTTAATTGCTGAGTAATATTCCATTGTGTATATGTAAATTGTGTATTTATGCCACATGTTTTTTATTTACTTACCTTTTGGGGGGCCTTTAGGTTGTTTCCCTGTCTTTGCTATTGTAAGTAGTTTTGCTATAAACATAGAAGTGCACATTTCCTTTCAAAGTAGAGTTTTCTGTGTTTTTTGGATAGATACCTAGGAGTGGAATTGCTGAGTCAATATGGCAAATCCAGTTTTAGTGTTTTGAGAAATTTCTTTACTGCTTTCTATAGGGTCTGGACTAGTCTACATTCCCAACAACAAAAGTGTAAGAGGGTTCCTTTTCTCCAGACCTTCACCAGCATTTGTTGTTTCTGATCTTTTTGATATGGGCCATTCTCACTAGTGTGAGGTAGTATCTCATTTTTGTTTTGATTTGCATTTTTCTCATAAGTGATGATGAGCACTTATTTATATGCTTGTTGGCCTGTCTATTTTCTTTGGAGAAATGTGTATTTAGTTCATCTGCCCATTTTTTGTTTGGGTTTTTTATTTTCTTTTTGTTAAGTTCTTTGTAAATCTTCGATATCAGCCCCCTGTCAGAAGTATGCTATGCAAATATTTTATCCTGTGCAGTGTCTCTTTGTTTCAGTTACATTCTCTTGCTGTGCAGAAGCTTTTTAGTTTAGTGTAGTCCCAATTGTTTATAGTCTCTTCTGTTTTCCTTACTACTGGGGATAAATCTATGAAGATATGTTTGAAGTTTATGTCTTGGAGCATTTTGCCTATGTTTTCTCCTGTATGTTTTATGGTTTTAGGTCTTATATCCAAGTATTTTATCCCTTTTGTGTTGATTTTTGTAGATGGTGTGATGTAGTGGTCTAGTTTCATTCTTTTGCTTATGGTATTCCAACTTTTCCAAAATCATTTATTGAGGAGGTTTTCCTTGTTCCAGTGTATATTCTTTCCTCCTTTATCACATTAGCTGTCAATGTGTGTGTGGATTTATTTCTCAGCTGTATTCCATTGGTCTTTGTGCCTGTTTTTGTTCCAGTACCATGCTGTTTTAATTATTATAGCTTTCAGTAATACTTGTTCTGTTTCTTTGAAGAATAACATTAAATTTTTTTAAAGATTTACTTCATTTATTTATGCATACAAGAGCTGTGGGGGGATGAGAGGATTCACCAGTGACAGAGTGGGGAGCAGAACAGGTGGATTGACTGAAATACACTGCTGACGGAAGCAATGGGCTAGACAGGAGAGGTCTGCTGCACCATTTGGGTTCACTCCCTGGCCATATAACTCATATTTAAGTGGCTGCCAATAAGTTTCATGGCACCAAGACTCAACCCCTTATGCCACCAGGGAGGGCCCACCATTAAAATTTTTATTACTATATTAATTCAATCTATAGATTGCTTTGAATAAGATGGCCATTTTGACTTTTAGTCTTCTGATCTATGAGCAAGGGCTGTCTCCATTTCTTTGTCTTCTGTTTCCATTATCAACATTTTAAAGTTTTCCTTGTATAGTCCTTCACCTCCTTTGTTAGGTTACTCCAGGATATCCTTTTTTTTCCTGATATGATTATAAATGAGATGGTTTGCTTAATTTCTAACTCTTGTAGCCCATTGTTTACATATAGGAAGACAACGGATTTTTGTGTGGGGTTTTTTTTTTTTTGGTAGCCTGCCATTTTACTGAACTAGTTCATTATTGTAATTAGTTTTTCTGTGGATTTTTTAGGGCTCTCTATATTATCCTGTCATCTGCAAATAATGATAGCTTTACTTCTTTCTAAATTTGAATTCTTTTTATATCTTGCCTAATTGCTCTAGCTAGAACTTCAATGTTATATAGTTGTTGAGAGCAGGCATACTTAGCAGATCTTAGTCTAAAGGCTCTCAGTATATCACCATTAAGAATGATGCTGGTTGTAGGTTTATTATATGTGACTTTTATTAATATATGTCCCATTTATCCCAGGTTTTTGAAGGCTTTTCATCATAAATGGATGTTGAAAGTTTTTCAAATACTCTTGGTATCTGTTGCTGTTTTTTGATGGTTATATTTTGTTGATGTGGTGAATTATGTTGATTGACTTTTGAATGTTGACCCATCCTTATATCCCTGGTATAAATCCCACATTAATATAATTCTTGTATTATTAGTATTCAGTATGCTAAGATTTTATTGAGGATTTTTGCATCTACATTCACTAGGGAAATTGGTCTTTAGTTCTTTTTTTTGTGTGTTTTCTTTGTTTGGTTTTGGTATTAGAGTGATGATGACCTCATAAAATGTGTTTGGTAAGTATTCCTTATCTTCAATATTGAAAGAGATTGAGCAGGATAGGTATTAGTTCATCTTTGAGTGTTTGGTAGAATTTGCCTATAATCCCTATCTGGTCTTGGACTTTGGGTTTTGGGGGAGAGTTTTGATTACCATTTCAATTTCCTTGCTTGGAATTGGTTTTTTCAGGTATTCTGTTTATTCCCTTTTCAGTTTTGAATGATTTTGTAATTCTAAGAATTTGTCCAACTCCTCTAGATTGTTGAAATTGTTTGCATAGAAATGTTCATAGTTATCTCTTATCCTTTGGATTACGGCCATATCTGTTGTACTTCTCTACTTTCATTTTTTTATCCTATTTGCATGGATTTTTTCCTTTTTTCTTTGTGAATCTAGCTAGAAATTTGTCTTTTTTTTTCTTCCAAAGAACCAGTTTTTGGTTTCATTGTGCTTTTGGATTTTTAAAAAATTTTATTTCTTGCATTTCTCCTCTAATTTTTATTGCTCCCTTCCTTCTGATTTCTGAGTTTTTGTTTTCCTAGTCCTTGAGATGAGAGATTAGATTGTTTCCTTGGGCTCATTGTTTTTAAATGTGGGCCTATATTGCTATGTATATCCATCTTAGTACTGCTTTTGCTGTGGTCTGGAAGGTTTTGTTCTCTTCATTTGTCTCAAGGTTGTTTTTTTTTAAATTCGTAGATTTCTTCACTGGCCCCATTGGTCTTTCAGTAGTAATGGGTTGTTGAGTCTCCATGTATTAGAGAATTTCCTTGCTTGCTTTTTGTAGTTGAGTTCTTGTTTAATACCTGTATAATCAGAGAAGATGCTTGCTGTGAGTTCAGCCTTCATAAAATTGTTGATATTTGTTCTATAACTCAGTATGTGGTCAGTCCTGGAGAATGATTCACATGCACTTGAGAAAAATATGTATTTGGCTTGTTAAGGGTGTAGTGCCTATTTATGTCTGTTAAACCTATTTGGTCTATTTCTTTGTTTAGGGCAATTGTGTCTTTAATTATTTTCTTATTGATTTTCTTTCTTTTCTTATTGGTGAGAGTAAGGTATTGTAGTCTCCAACCACACATTGTCTGTTTTCAGATTTAGTAGTAATTGTCTGATGAATTTTTATGTTCCTTTCTTAGTAAATATTGAAAGTTATGTCTTGATGTATTTCTCCCTTAATTATTATATAGCATCCATCCCTGTCTCTTGTTACTTTTTTTTAGCAGAAAGTCCAATTATGGTGGTTCCTGCCTTCCTTTGGGTGCCATTTGCTTGTAGAATTGTTTTCCAACCCTTTACTTTCGGTCTTTATTCTTTAAACTTAGGTGCATTTCCTAGAAGGAGCAAGATGGTTGAATTCTGTTTCTGATCTAACTAGTTAGTTACCTCTGTGTCGAATATGTCAGTGCTTTTCTCTTCTTGCCCATAGTGTTTCTTTTTTTTTTTTTTTTTTGAACAATAAAAACATGAATACATTTTAATTATACTAAGATCCTTAGTTTCAAAATAAATAGTGTAGATTTTATTTTGTATAATTGATTTTTAGATTTACTATTTTGCTTTCAACAATTAATTAAATATTTATCAATCAAAATGAATTTTATTTTTTTTAATAATAAATTTCATTTTTATATTCCCCATACAATTGCAGCCCCCCCATTCTGACCCCAATCCCTCCCCTCCCACCCCCGCCCCCCTAAAAGTGTCTCTGGTTCGTAGTTTTTTGTTGATTTTGATTTTCACTTTCTTATAGTTATTCGTTTTCCTGGTCCCTTATTTAAGTTTTCTAGATTCCTGCTATGAGTGAGACCATCCGGTATTTTTCTTTTTCTTTTTGGCTTATTTCGCTGAGCATGATCCCTTCCAGCGCCATCCATGTTGCTGCAAATTGCATGTGCTTATCTTTTTTGAATGCTGAGTAATATTCCATGGTATAGATGTCCCACATCTTCTTGATCCAGTCATCTATTTTTGGGCATTTGGGTTGTTTCCAAAGCTTAGCTATTGTAAACAGTGCTGCTATAAACATAGGGGTGCAGGTGTTCTTTGGAATTGATGTTTCTGTGTCCTTTGGGTAAATACCTAGGAGTGGAATTGCTGGATCATATGGAAGCTCTATGTTTAGTAGGTCCAGAAATCTCCACACAGCTCTCCACAGTGGTTGGACCAGTTTGCACTCCTACCAACAGTGCAGAAGAGTTCCTTTTTCTCCACACCCTCGCCAACATTTGTTGTTGCTAGTTTTTTTAATATGTGCCATTCTCACTGGTGTAAGATGGTATCTCATGGTAGTTTTGATTTGCATTTCCCTGATGACAAGTGATGTTGAACATTTTTTCATATGCCTGTTGGCCATTTGCATTTCCTCTTCAGAGAAGTTTCTTTTTAGCTCTTCTGCCCATTTTTTGACTCGATTATTTTCTTTGTTGTTGTTGAGTCTCATCAGCTCTTTGCAGATTTTTGTGATCAGTCCTTTATCATTAGTGTTGGATGCAAAAATGTTCTCCCAGTTGGTGGGGTTTCTCTTTGTTTTTGTTATTGTCTCTTTTGCTGTGCAGAAGCTCTTTAATTTGATGTAGCCCATAGTGTTTCTTCAGAGAAGACTTATGTTAGTCTAATCAGGCTTCTTTTATACACTATCTGCTTCTTCCCCCTCATTAGCTTCATTATTTTTCCTGTCTCGGACTCTTGGCAGTTTTACTATTGTGTATCTTGTTCTAGGTCTCTTTTTATTTAGGTAAGTTGGTGTTCTTTTAGCTTCCTGTATTTTATGTTCATTTTCTTCTGCAAGTTTGGGAAGTTTTCTTCCATTTCTTGAAATAGATTTTCAGTTCCCTTCCCTCTCCTTCTGGGATACCTTAATTCTTATATTTCCTTTCTTTTTTCTCCTGGTGTCACATAATTTTGAAGTTTGTCCATTTTTTTTCTATCTTGATTCTTTCTTCATTTGTGTCTTTGAGATCATCATTCAGTCTTCCATTTGGTCTGTTCCACTTCCTTAGCTTTCTCCTCCATTATCTTTTAACATCCTCCAGTTTGTTTTTTTCTTAAAGTTTCAGTTTCCATCTTAATCCTTGATTGTGTTCCTCATAACTGAGTTTTCTTGTATATCTCTGTATTGTTGTTGAGTTTTCTTTGTATTCTTCAAATTCTTTGATTTTCTTAAGTCTCACAATTTTGAATTCTGTGTCTGATAAGAATAGAAGCTCTTCCATGTCATTGTAATTGGGTTCTGGACTCTTGTTCTCTGTCTTTGGTGTATTGTTCCCCTAAGGACTTGTTTGACCATTTTCTTTCTCCCTTTTGTTTGTTTTTGGTTTGCTCTGCTGTAGTTGGAACTTCTGTTGTGTGTAGGCACACCTTCCCACTGTTGTAAACAACTGGGGACTTGTAGAGTCTGAGATTTCCCCAGAAACACACCTGAGCCAGGGTCCAGTAGCCATGGTGGCTGGGCCAGGACTGACAGGTTGCTGGGGAACTAATCCCCTAAGGTTAAATTTTTAAAGATGTTTCTTAGGTCTTTTGATGTAACTATTGGTAAAAAGAACTTTAATCACTACTATAAAAGAACACCCCTGTCTACTCCAGATGATTTCCGTCATTTCCTTTTTTTAATATTCATAACAAAAATATTTAATGGAAATTATAGGGTTTATTTTAATAGACATTTTCCAAGTTTACCTTGAAGACATTTTCCCTACTCTATAACCGTATGCATGAAACACAGAATTTCTAGAAATTAGAGGTCTACCTCTAAAATCATAATGATGCCTTTCAGAAAATAATGATGTTGATATTGCATTTTTTCCCCTTTTTTAGCCAAAACCAGAAAATGATGTTAGAGCAGGAACGTCTGAGAGTAGAACATGAGAAGTTGAAAGGTGTAGATCAAGAAAAGAGCAAAAAACTACATGAACTTACGTAAGTAAATGCTGTAATTCAGGTTTAAAATTTAAAAGTAAATCAGGATTGAAGGCATTGATTTTCATAAATCTGTTGGATGCACTCTTTACTTTTTATTGCTAAATGATATTTTTCTTAAAACTTCTGAGTTGATTTATTCCCAAACATTTGTGATACATTCTTGTAGTTTAGTGACAGCAAAGTCTTTCATTTCTTTTTTGGTCAAGAGTCAGAATCTTGTTTATGAGCCTGCTTGCTGCTTCTATGCTACCCTATTACTTTGAGCTCCATTACAAAAATAATCCTAAAACCTGATATTAAAATAATTTACATTTCAGAATCTGCCACAAAAATTGAAATTTTGTCAAGTTTGAGCTTGCATATATATGAATATTATTGATTAAATATTACCTTTGAGCACAGGTTTTTGACATTCTTTATAATTTACTGACAGAGTATAGTCATATATCCAGTTTTCTAGAATCTGGGCAGGTAAAATGTTGTGATCATAATTTTTCACATACCTTGGATTTATGAGAGACACTTTGTAAATAAACTGTTATTATTGGATGGTCACACAGTCTGGACCATCTCAGTTGATTTTACAGAGATTTTCCTAAATCTTACCATAATTTTGTTTATAATAATTTTAATGTAAAATGTCTTAGTCTCTGATAATTTTTAGTGTCTGTAATTCCCAGTTAAGTCAGAATTATTTGGGATAAATGCTACCTCCAGTGTCATCAAAACCAGTCTCAGCACTCTTGCTGTATATGTAATGTGCTATATGTGGCATATTCTAAAATATAAATAAATTACAGATGAAGCTTCTAAGACCAACATTTATTTGAAAGATACATGGGCAAACATTTTTTTATTTGAATGTAAGAATTGATCCTGGGCCTCCCCGGTGGCGCAGCGGTTGAGCGCTGGGTTGCGAAGCTGCCCACAGCCTCTGCAGCGCCGGTTCGATCCCCGGGCACCGGGTGAGGGTCCTACATGGTGCGCAGACCTCTCCTGCCGCCCACTGCTCCCCTCAGCAGTGTATTTCATCAGTCTGCCTGCTCTGCTCCTCTCTGACTCTGGTGAATTCTCTCACCCTCCCGCGCTTCTGACTGTACCCAGTGCTTGTATAAATAAATAAATCTTTTTTTAAAAAAAAGAATTGATCCTTTCAAATAAAAAAATTTTGACTTAACTCTTCTGCTTAAAGCTAGGATTTTATGCAAAGTTGAAAATATATTTTGTATATTCTTTCACTTTTTTAGAGTTATGCAAGATAGACGAGAACAAGCAAGACAAGACTTAAAGGGTTTGGAAGAGACAGTGGTAAGGAAAACTTGAAAAATCAATAGGATTGGGGAGCATTTAATGGATTCCCCTTCAACCCTCAACTTTGTTATACTAATTTGAACTCTGAATTCCAAAATCACTGCCATTTTTAATTCTAGGCAAAAGAACTTCAGACTTTACATAACCTTAGGAAACTGTTTGTTCAGGACCTCGCCACCAGAGTTAAAAAGGTAATACAACTGTAGTGGATAGGAATTGTATAAATTGTGCTTGCTGTCTCTAATTCTTTGTACTGTAAGTGAAATAATAAATTTTTACTGTCAATTTTTGTGTAAACTTAGTTTTTTTAGATGTTTAAATTTTTTCATTGTATTTATCAACCTTCTCTAGAGTGCTGAAATTGATTCTGATGACACCGGAGGCAGTGCTGCTCAAAAACAGAAAATCTCCTTTCTTGAAAATAATCTTGAACAGCTCACTAAAGTGCACAAACAGGTAATTAAAAAGGCTATTTTGGGGTAGCTGCAACATTGTAAGAATTAAAGAATTGAGGAATGGCAAGTATTTGAATCAGAGTCCTAAGGAATTTTCATACCCTGAGCCTTTCCATTGTTTGATCAAGCAACTAAATAAAGAAACCACCAACAGTTTTTAGGGGAGTTTATGTTTTTAAAACCTTATCATGCTTGTTCTTGTCTAGTATAACTCTAAGGTCAATAAAATGTATTTTTTCCTAGTATTTCATTTATGTCAGTTTTCTTAATTTATCATGATAATTTGTCTCTGCTAAACAAGTCTTTGTAGTTAAAATACTTTTATTTTTACATTTAATGCCTCAAATATGAAATGTCTTGAGCAATTCATAGTTTTTAGAAAGTAATGCTTTTGCTTCTTTTCTGTTTTTAATATGACTTAGTGATTTAATAATTGCAGTGTTTCTTAATACAGTTTTTCTATATCTTCACTAATGTAAACCTGATATTTGCACTAGAATAAAGTAAAAGAAGTTTTAGCCTTTGTTCTTAGCAGTTATTAAAGAGCTTATTACCAAGTTTATGTTTATTTATATAGTGGGTCTCACTATATAAAATGATACTCATTTCACCAGGTTAGTGTTTTGTTGAAAAGAGCTAACACTGTGTTATAACTTACTATCATTGCCTCATAGAGGGTAAGAACATTTCGCCCATGTCCAAAAAGAAAAGTGAAATTATATCTTTGTGAGAAATGTGTGCAATTTTATATATACACGCACACCCCATTGCATGTTTCTATCTAAATGGAAAACTTAAAATTTACTTTTCTGAAGAGAAATTATGAAATGTTCATGCTTTCTCAGATCATGTTGTTAAAGCTAGCATCTTTATTTTCTTGATGTGCCTTAGTTGGTACGTGACAATGCAGATCTTCGGTGTGAGCTTCCTAAGTTGGAAAAGCGACTAAGAGCTACAGCAGAGAGAGTGAAAGCTTTGGAGTCAGCACTGAAAGAAGCCAAAGAAAATGCATCCCGTGATCGCAAACGTTATCAGCAAGAAGTCGATCGTATAAAGGAAGCAGTCAGGTCAAAGAATATGGCCCGAAGAGGACATTCTGCACAAATTGGTTAGTAGAACACATTTAAAACCTTTAATCCTTCCTATGTTTAAATATTGTCATGTACTTGAAAGCAGTCTGATTCATTATGTGTTGTTATGGTGCATTTGTCTTTATTTTCTAATTTAGCAAAGAGTACTATTGTTGGAGCAGGGCAGAAGTGAGGAGTAACCACATTAAGAGAACAGGATTCAATAAATAAGAACTAGGCAAGCAAGTAAAAATGGTTAGAGACAGAAGAAGCTATATAGAGCATTGTTATTAAAGCAAAGAAAGCAAGTCATCAAACAGTATTTTGTCCTCAAGAGTAACACTGAAACAGGAATAAGGTTTTGAATAAGCAAAGGATTGTATGGATCCTAAAGAAAATACATAATTGAAAAGAAAAGAGAATTCACTGAGAAACAAAAAGGCAAAATAAAACAACATTTGGAAAATTGTGAATAAAGAGACCTAAAAAGTCATTGCAGTCAGTGTTTTAAGATTATTTTAAAATTCTTTTTTATTTTTCATTTTAGCTAAACCCATTCGTCCCGGGCAGCATCCAGCAGCTTCTCCAACTCATCCAGGTGCAATTCGCGGAGGAGGTGCATTTGTTCAGAATAGCCAGCCAGTGGCAGTACGAGGTGGAGGAGGCAAACAAGTGTAAGCTTTACACTTTACCTACAGGTTTGTAATGTATCTGGCTTTTGAGTTATAGCTATAAATGGAAATGTTCCACCATTGGTCATTAAGCACTTTCTTGGATTCTCACATTAGTACCATGATTTTTAAGTATGTGATTATAAAATTAAGAATTTTTTCTTACCTATTTTCATAATTCAGCTCATATTATATATTTAATTTTGTGTTCTTAATGTCTTTAACCTAACATACTTTTTGATTTTTTAGAGCTTTTGAACAAACCATGGTTTATAACTATCTGCTTCATGGAGCATGTAATTAAGTATGTTAATTTTTCCATACTTGAAATTTCCCAAAATTGAAATTTCCATATATGAAATTTGAAGTGTGAAATGTCTTTACAGCCCCTCACCTTTGAAATTATTTCCAGAATTTTCCCAGAACTGGAATTAGAAGGAAAGTGAGCATTTTAAGTGCTCTTAAAATGTGAACACATTGCTCTTCAGATTGACTACACCAAATTTCATATTAGCCAAGGGTTAATCCATTCTGTTCTACCTTTGTAACATTGAATATTGTTCTTAAGCTTAGAATATATGAGTTCCAAATAAATATCTCATTGAGTTATTAATAACGTTAGATTTTATCATATTTATGTACCCACTTATATTTTCTTTTTTAATGAATTGTTTCCCATTTGCCTACTCTGATCTTTCTAATAGATTTATGAGTTTGTATTTGTTTTTAATTGTACAATTAATAGCTATTCCCTGCAAGGTGATAAAGAATATCATAAAGTCAAAGATAAAAACCAGAGATATCATCCAGTATATCTTGAATGTATTGCGAAGATTTTGAGTGCTTTCTTTACAAATTTTTTTCTTTCTTTTAAGGAAAGCACCATAGCTCACCTCTGACTGTGTGATTATTCCTTTTTTTTTTTTTTTTTTTTTTTTAAGATTTATTTATTTATTTATTTATACAAGCATTGGGTACAGTCAGAAGCACGGGAGGGTGAGAGAATTCGCCAGAGCAGGGAGCAGAACAGGCAGAAGGACCAAAGTATACTGCTGAGGGGAGCAGCGGGCAGCAGGAGAGTTCTGCGGGCCATGTGGGACCCTCACCCGGAGGCCGGGGACTGAACCGGCACTGCAGAGGCTGCAGGCAGCCTCGCAACCCAGCGCTCAACTGCTGCGCCACCAGGGAGGCCCACAAATTACAATTTTTTAATACAAGGATTTAAACTATTGATAATCTAATAACATACTATCCTTGTTATACGTATTCTACTTTGTATTCTGCTATTCTAGCTTATCATTTTCTTGTATAGCATGATATATTAGTTAATAATCTGTTAGTATTTCATCACATGACAGGAGCTCAGATTTTAAGCCTTAGGAAGTCCCAGATATATAGAGAGATGCTAAAAACAAATGATTACTGTTTCTGTCAGAAACTAAAGTCAGTTTATTTTAATCTTGGTTGTTTTTACTTAGACATTTTATATAACATTGTCTCAGTTTGAGTAGAGGATTAAGCAGTTTTCTGGAGAATTCATATATCTAATAATTTTAACATAATTTTTTGTCTACAGAGTATAGGATTTTTTTTTTTTAAGATTTTTTTAAAAAGATTTATTTATTTATACAAGAACCGGGGTACAGGCCAGATGTGTGGGAGGGTAAGAGGATTCACCAGAGACAGAGTGGGGAACAGAGCAGGCAGACTGATGAAATACACTGCTGAGGGGAGTAGCGGGCAAGACAGGAGAGGTCTGCTGCGCCGTGTGGGATTCTCACCGGCCGGCCAGCCAGGATCGAACCGTGCTGCAGAGGCTCCGGACAGCTTCACAGTGCAACGCTCAACCGCCTGTGCCACCAGGGAGGCCCGTAGTATAGGATTTTTTTTTAAGATTTATTTATTTGTGCATATAAGACCTACGGTGCAGGCCAGAGATATTGGGGGGTGAGAGAATTCACCAGACACAGAGTGGAGAGCAGAAAAGGAGGACTGACTGAAATACACTGCTGAGGGGAGCAGTAGATGAGACAGGAGAGGTCTGCTTTGTCATGTGGGTCACCTCCCTGGACAGAGGGATCAAATTTGTACTGCAGTGGCTGTGGATCACTTCATAGTGCTGCATCTTAACCCCTTGCACCAGCAAGGAGGCCCTACACAGTATAGGATTTTTTGTTTTTTTTTATAGAGGCATGTTTTATTTATTTATTTATTTATTTGTTCGTTTTGTTTATACATGCACTGGGTACAGTCAGAAGCGCAGGAGGGTGAGAGAATTCACCAGAGCCAGAGCGGGGAGCAGAGCAGGCAGAAGGACCAAAGTACACTGCTGAGGGGAGCAGCGGGCGGCAGGAGAGGTCTGCGCGCCATGTGGGACCCTCCTCCGGTGGCCGGGGAGCAGCCGGGGATCGAACCGGCGCCGCAGAGGTCGCCGGCAGCTTCTCAACCCAGCGCTCAACCTCTGCGCCACCGGGGAGGCCCTCTACACAGTATAGGATTTAAACGATAGTTATGAGGTGAAAGAAGCATGGACTTTGGGATTGCTTCAAAATTTGAATCTTGTTATTTCTATTTTTTTAAAAAAGATTATTTATACAAGAACTGGGATACAGTCAGGCGAGGGAGGGTGAGAGAATTCACCAGAGACAGAGCGGGGAGCAGAACAGGCAGACTGACCAAAGATACTGCTGAGGGGAGCAGCGGATGAGGCAGGAGAGGTGTACCGCGCCTTGTGGGTTTCTCCCTGGCCAGCCAGGGATCGAACCCACACTGCAGAGGCTGCGGACAGCTTCACAGCGTGGCACTCAGCCCGCTGCACCACCAGGAAGGCCCTTGTTAATTCTATTTTTATGAACTTCAACAGTTTACATTTTAAAAAGAATTTCTTCCATTTTTTTGACTCCTTTTAAGATTCTTCAGCAGAAAAATGAATTAGGAATTCATAACCTATTAATCACTAAATTAAAACATTTTTCCTTCGTAGACACAGTAAATCACATTAAACAAAATACTTTTAACAAAATGCCAATGTAATTTTTTTTTTTAAGTCCTTTACAGCTGGTTTGTTTAAACCAAGGTACAGTGCAGGACCATCATTTGCATTTGGTTATATTCCTTATGTCTCTTAATCTAGAATAGGCTCCCTTTTTAATGACTGATTTACTGAAGAGATTAGGACAGTTATTTTGCCACCTTTTAAATGTGTTTGGGGCCTCCCCAGTGGCGCAGCAGTTGAGCGCTGGGTTGCGAAGCTGCCCGCGGCCTCTGCGGCGCCGGTTCGATCCCCGGCTGCTCCCCGGCCTCCGGAGGAGGGTCCCACATGGCGCGCAAACCTCTCCTGCCGCCCGCTGCTCCCCTCAGCAGTGTACTTCAGTCCTTCTGCCTGCTCTGGCTCTGGTGAATTCTCTCACCCTCCTGCGCTTCTGACTGTACCCAGTGCATGTATAAACAAAACAAACAAATAAATAAATAAATAAAGCATGCCTCTATTAAAAAAAAAAAAAAGAAACTACCTTTTAAATGTGTTTGTATCAACAATGCTGTGCCCTAAAGTGTATTTTTTTACTAATAGACAATTTATTATGGCACATCAGCACAATTTCTGTTTAGATAATACACCACTACATTCTGTTAGTTAATCATTAGGTGTGACTGAATTTCTTTTGCAGTTTTTTGTTGTTGTTGTTGTTGTTGTTGTTGTTGATAGAGGCATGCTTTATTTATTTGTTTGCTGGTTTGTTTGTTTGTTTTGTTTATACATGCACTGGGTACAGTCAGAAGCGCGGGAGGGTGAGAGAATTCACCAGAGCCAGAGCGGGGAGCAGAGCAGACAGAAGGACCGAAGTACACTGCTGAGGGGAGCAGCGGGCGGCAGGAGAGGTCTGCGCGCCATGTGGGACCCTCCTCTGGTGGCCGGGGAGCAGCCGGGGATTGAACCGGCGCCGCAGAGGCCGCGGGCAGCTTCGCAACCCAGCGCTCAACCGCTGCGCCACCGGGGAGGCCCTCTTTTGCAGTTATTAAAAAAAAATCTCAAATTTCTAAATCTGCGGAATAAAACTTTTTAAAATAAAAATAAATAAATAAATGGGTTTGTATCTATAAGTAGTTGATTTGTTCCTCTGTCCCCTATATATTGAAAGTATTAGATTCAGTATAAACATTTTGAATAAGACTACATGGTAGGTAATATGTGCCTAATATTGTACCACATAGGTTAGCCCATACAATAGCTAGGTTTCCTGCCAGGTGACTGTGTTTTCCCCCATTGGTAAAATAACTTTTTGAGCACCTTTATTAGGAAAATGGAAGTTGCTTTTGAGAATTACAGAAGTTTAAGATGTTGTTACCTAGTACTGAGTGGGTATTTTGTAGATATAAGCTGCCCTTTCTGGAAGTGGAGGGTGGTAATGGAATTTTTCAGCAAACAAATACAGCTATAGATAAAGGTTCATCCTTTTTGGATATTGTCTTCACATTAAAATTCATATGTAAACTTTGAATTCATATCTCATTTACAGAAAGGCTAGGTGAAGTCCTTTGTGTAGCTTAAGCTTTAACTTAAAAGTAGAATAGGGCCTCCCCAGTGGTGCAGCAGGTTGAGTGCAGAGCTGTGAAGCTGTCCACAGCCTCTGCAGTGCGGATTCGATTCCCGGCCAGCCAGGGAGATACCCACATGGTGCAGCAGACCTCTCCTGTCTCACCCACTGCTCCCCTCAGCAGTGCTTTCAGTCCATCTGCTTATCCTGCTCCCCGCTCTGTCTCTGGTGAATCTTCTAACCCTCCTGCACCTCTGGCCTGTACCCCAGCTCTTGTATAAATAAATAAATCTTTTTTAAAAAATAAAAATAAAAGTAGAATACTGATGCCATTGTAATGACAGCAGTTTCGTTCATGTGGGAGATAACTAACCAACTATAAACTAGGTTTTCAAGATTCAAAGTATTATAAGAGGATGATGATTTACAGGTTTATTTCATTGTCCTCTAAGGGATAGTGATTTTATTTTAACTCTTGTATCAGTCAGTCTTAAACCATGATTGGGGAGTATATGAGTTTATTTAAGTGATAGATTAAAAATGAAATATTTTTTCGAGATTTTTCATTATTAAAAAATTTCAAAACACTGAGTTTGTTTTGAGGAAAGATGTCAGTATATTAATATTAATATCCTCAGTACCTCATTTTACATGACGGCCTAGCTTGCAAAATCTTTTGAACAAGTTGAGTTTTCTAAACACATAGGTAACTAGGCAGTTTAATATAAGAATGCCTCTAGGTCACATCCTCCCAAGATGATGCTTCATCATCTGTCTGTCAAAGGTACCTCTTGTTTATCCCTCTCTCTCCACCCCTCCCCGCTCCTTTGGTTAAACAACTGTCATGTATATAGCAGTGCTAATAGTAATCGTTGTCTTAAACAATGTCCCTGCCTTTTTTTAAACATTATTCTGCTCATAAACAGCCCTATTTTTGGAGGTAAATAAAAGAAGAAATCAAATCATGTTGCCATCTTTTTTATTTTTTGAGAAAATGGTCAAAGCTATTGGCTAAATTTTTTTTTTAAAGATAGATAGCTGAGTTGTTTTTTTTTTTAAAGATTTATTTTATTTATTTATTATACAAGCACTGGGTACAGTCAGAAGTGTAGGAGGGTGAGAGAATTCGCCAGAGCCAGAGCGGGGAGCAGAGCAGGCAGAAGGACCGAAGTACACTGCTGAGGGGAGCAGCGGCAGCAGGAGAGGTCTGTGCACCATGTGGGACCCTCCTCCGGTGGCCAGGGAGCAGCCGGGGATCGAGCCAGCGCTGCAGAGGCTGCGGGCAGCTTCACAACCTGGTGCTCAACCGCTGCGCCACCGGGGAGGCCCTTGGCTAAATGTTTTTAAACTATTCGTTCATTTTATTCCTGCTTTTTGTGATACTCTCAAAAGTTCTATAGAAATACAAATATATTCTTTGTTTTCTCCCATTTTCAGGTGTTGAAAGTAATTGAAGTATGAAGAGGACATAATATCAAATAGAATCAGTCAATGTATAACCCGCTGGGAATTGTAGAATTATAACTTTTTTTAATGTATAAATTATACCTGGCCTGTACAGCTGTTTCCTACACACTCTTCTTGTAAACTGTGCTGCTTCCCAACACAACTAGAGTGCAATTTTGGCGTCTTAGGATGGGAAAATGACGGTTTACAACTGTGGCCCTATTTATTTACACAGTTTATCTTTGTGTCTTTTGTCTTCACTGTGCCAAGTTCACTCTACCATATATAAGATTGTGCTTTTTGTACTTGTTTTTTGTGTGTGTGTTTATTTTTAATCTCATTTTAAATTACCTAAATGCTGCCGCTTCTTATTTTTCTTATTAGAATGTCTTCCTTATTTTAGGGAAAATAGAACATTTAGATAAACGTCTCAAATTTTACCACTTGCAACACTACATGTTCACAAAAATATATCTTGTCAGTACTGTACTTTAAAATTCCTTGAAATGGGTTCAGAGTTAAAATTATTTGTATCATCTCTGGAGTTTGCTTCTGAAAACTATTTGAGCACTGAAACCTTGAAACTGCCTAACTAGGCATTTGAGAATGAGCAAGGCTGCTTAATTATTATCTCTGAAATGCCTGTTGCTGAATTATCTGAAATAGGATTATTTCACATTATCAAAAGCAAATCTCAGTTGAGGAAAATGAATTATATTTCTCTTCTTGATTCTGTAATCAACATAGCTTGATAAAATGAGAATATCCTGCTTCATTCTCTTGAGCCTGCTAGTTAATAAAAGTTAATAAGAATTGGACAGATAGTAATTTCTCATCTTAATATGATAATATGAATTAATATTATAAGGTTAAATGTAATTTTATATTATTAATATTGTATTGGTTAATCTAAATTTATAATCTGTATATGGAAATTGAGAAAAGTATGATTGGGTGGGACAAATTTATGAATATGTACGTAAATTTTGGTCTGGAATCCCTGAATTGTCTTTAACCTGCTACACTAAGTCAAACTATAATTTATTTCTTCTTTTGTCTAAGAATAGTAAATTGTAAGTCATTAATAATCCTTAAATTATTTTGTTGGTTATAGCCCGTAATATTGTAGTTAGTACTGATAAACCCTATTTTTGACACTTTTTCCTCACATGATAAAATCAGATCAACATTTTGTTTAAGGAAGCTATGAAAGTATTAGGGAAAGAGATTTCAATTTTTGCTTCATCAGTTGGGGGGCGGGGTGGTGATTGCAACTAAGTTAGCAGAAATATGCAGAGAATGGGAATTTAAGGTTACAGACTTAGTCCATGGAGAGCTTGGAAGTTCTGTGTTAGGATCTGACTGGCAGAATTAACTTTTTGAAAAAGTTTTATACACAAGATATTTGTATTAAATTTGGAGTCATAGAGGACTCAAATCATAATTGGCTTATTTTTCTATTTCTATTGTAATTTCCACTTTTGTAATAATTTTGATTTAAAAGATAAATTTATTTATTTTTTTAACAGTCAAAAATCCTTGCTGTTATAGTCTGCACCTTTAAAATGATTGTTTTGCTTTTAAGACAGATCAAAACAAACACTCCAAAAATTTAGATGAAACCTTGGTGTGGCAAGATTGAAGTACTATAGTTAACTAAAAAATTAAAAAAAAAAAAACCACTACAGCATATTTCACGGATATAGTTTTCTAAATGGTGAAGTATTTGGCTGCATTCAGAGACATTTATATTTTGTTTTCAAATGAAAACATGCTTTGGCAATATTCTTAAACGAAGCAGAAATTTTTTTCTCTTTTGCCTGAATATGGTAGTTTCATTCTTGTAAGATGTATCACACACAGGTATTGGTGCTGTGTAGCAAACAATGAATTATAACTAGCATGTGGTTCAGAATACACAATGTTAGATTTTTTAAACTGTTTCAACAGTTCTTTTCTATTTATAATTTCAAACTTTCACAAACTGTACAAAGAGTTTCATAAATTTGTTTTCAGTAAACTGCTCTTTTTGCTATGGTAGGTCATTAAACACAGCACTTACTCTTATAAATGAAAACTTCTGATCATCTAGAACATTGACACTTATTTCAATTTGCAGTGTCTTTTTGACTGAATATATTAATGTTCCTCTGAATGATACTGATAAATGGTTCAAAAGAGAGTCTCAATGAAATAAAGTAGTATTTATTCATGGTGATCAATTAAATTATTTGCTAACTTAAAACCACTGTGTGTAATTCTCAATTTGACTTTAGGTGATAGAAGAGTTCACCTGTAGAATATGGTATATTTCCAATACTTAACAGTATAGTAAAAGAGAATTGGTTTGGGAAGACGCCATGTAATTTTAAGTTAACCTGCATGCTGTAAATGTGTTTTATGTTTAAATAAAGAGGAAAATTTTTTTGAAATGTAATGACTTTCTTAAAACTTATTCAGTGAAGTGTCAGGTTGATTTTATATAGCTAAGTGGCCTTCTGTCTTGACAGAACAGTGACTAATTGTCATTATATTCAGGTATATTTTGTTTCCTAATGTATTGCATACTCTTTGGTCAGCAGATTTCAAATATGTAGGCTGAAGAATTAAGAAATGGAAACAAATTGTCTCACCGATGTTATTTTACTTTACATGGTTCTGTTCATCTGAGTCTGTTTTATTAACTTATATAAGGAGTATTAAAGTTTGTTTTTCAATGCTTTCTCAATGGTCATTAAGCTGGAGGGAAAAAATGGCTGTTCCTAAACTCTAGTGATAATTGGGGCTTTTAAAAAAAATCTTTAAATTATTTATTATAGAAAGTATTAATCATATAAAAGTAAACAACAAAACTCAATTCATGACTAATTTGTATCATTCTTAACCTTTTTTTATGCTCCTCTTCCCCACATTATTTTCAAGCAATCCCAGACATCCTATGCTTTTATTCAGATATTTTAGTGTATGTTTTAAAATAAACTTCATTAAACACCAGATTTTGTTAACCACATCCCCAAAACAATAGTTTACTAATAAACAATTGCAATTTTTGTAGAAATTTATATTAAGTTCCAGTTAAAATACATTTATTGCAATAGACTCTCACAGGTGCTCCATTTTTTCCCATGTAATTATAAAGAAAACAGGCTATATGTCCTGTTGAGTTTCCCAAATTGTGCTTATTGCACCCCTTTGATATTGAACATACTCTTCTATCCTTTGTGCTTTAGATACATATTTAATCAGATTCAGATTTTGTTTTTTCAGGGTGTGGGAGGCAATATTACTACATAAATGATGGTATCCTTGCATCAGATGGCATATAATGTCTAGTTTTTTCCTGAATTATTAGCCACCGTTGATGATCTATGCATAGGTTCATCAATTTATTAGAGGTTACAAAATGGTGAGATGCTAACTCATTCCCTCATTTGTAGTTGCAATAGAGAAATGCCCTTCTATTTGTTTACCAAGTGTGGTATAGCCTGTATCAGAAAAACAGGGTGTGTACTAGATTCTCATTAATGCAAGCCTTAAAATGAGTTGCTTCCCCATCTTCTGCTGGCAACCGGTTGTATATTTTTGCCCCTTGTTTTGTTTTGGCTATTATCTCTTTAAAGTGTGTTAGTGAGCCTTCAAATCAGTTGTTTTTTTTTTTTTTTTTTTCCTTTTTTGGAGGAGTTTAAACAGAAACAACTCGAATTTCCCACACTCCAGTGAAGTGGCCCTTTACCCGGGTCTCCACTGAACATTTCTGTCATCCAACTCAGTGTGTTTGACAGCAGCAAAGTGGTGTTCTGTGGAATGACCAGATTTTCTGATCTCTGATCAGACTATTTTGATTAGGCAGAAGAGTTAACAACCACGGGAAAAAATTGTGTGTGAGTGTTGCCTATTTTATGTGGATGTGAACTGCTTTTGGCCTTCTCTTAGTCTGAAAAGAGCACAGTGTTTGCTCTTTTGACTGGTGGTTGTGGGAAGAGAGAATATAGCACTAAGACTTCTGTCTGTCCTCTAGAATAGCCTGTGTCCCAAAAGATGCATGGGAGGAATCATGTCAGTTACCAAGTATGTTCAACTATAGTTACATATACAGAGTCAGAAATGACAGTTTGTGCAGTTTTAATCCAAGCATTTACATATATGTTTATAACTCAGGACTCCATTTATTACTGTGCTCCCATGTGCTCCCCCCCCAAAATGATGCTTCACATTGCTCAGTATCAGTGTCAACTCTCACTATCCAGTAGATGCTCCCTCAAAATACTTGGTCATTTCTCTTTCTACAGGTACAGGATATAGTTAAGTAAATGGATATAATTCCTTCTGGAACAGGACGGAAAATTGTTACATTCTGTACTTGTCACAAGATTCTCTGGGACCCAACCTCTTCATTTGTTATGTTCGGGGTTTGGAAACAGGAGCAGGTCACTGGGCAAGGAGTTACGACTTTACTAGAGCAATTGTCTTTGTTGCCTTGTCTTCCATCATTGATACTCTGATGATAAAAGGTGAATAGTATGTTTGTTGGCTTTCCATCTGTGTTATCCCTAAACATAATATTTAGCCATATCCATAACTGGGTCAGATCCAGCCCTGCTGCTTATGATAATTGTGTCCATCTGTTTTCTAGTAGTTAAGCCTTTGTTGGGGGGTAGGGAGGTTATCCCCTTTGCTATCAGCAAACCTGTTTAATAGTTCTGGAATAGCCTCATCTACCTAACAGCTCTGCCTTACAAAAGAAAACCATCATTGAACTTTTTACCTTAAATGATTATTAGTGATTCATGTGCTTATGTACCTCTGATAAGTGATGAGGTCACTTTACTACTGTGTTTTTCTTCCCCAAAACCAATAAGCCTATCTAATCCTGAGAAAAATAACCACATAAAGGAAGGGCATTCTATAAAATGTCTAACCAGTACTCATCATCATGACAAACAAACTTACAAATCAAGGGACTAAGGAGACATGACAATTAAATACAAAGTGGTATCCTTGTTTGGATTTTGGAACAATAAAAATGGGAAAAGAATGTTGAAGCCTGTTAAAAGTACCAGTTAATTTCTCAGTTTGGACAAATGTGCAGTGATAATATAAAATGCTGACAATTTGTAAAGCCACGAAGAACAAGATAAGAGCCATAACATTTGGGAAACCAGAAAGCAGTTTAGACCCTAGAAGCAACTCCTAAGCGAACAGTGGGGAATGCTGAGCAAACCAATATCCTCCCCTTACGGAATCCCAAATCGTTCATGCGTGTATCATCAGATACCTCTGGAAGTTGGAGTGGACTGAATAGTATTCCACTGTGTATACATAGCTCATCTTTATCCATTCATCTGTCAATAAAC